GAAGAAAATACTAGTTTCAAAATGAGGAAAGATATTTAATTTTAATGAGATTGAACTCCCCCAAGTATTACTGTTTTGGATAAACCCTAAAATTTTTCAAAATATTTACATGAGTAAAAAGCAATGAACAAGAAGCCATTTATAAAAAGAAGCTAAATATTGGTACAAATTAAAATCAATGATGAAAACATCAAAATACTGAAAACTTCTGACATTTGCTCTTAGTATCATTTAAAAACTGACAGTGAAGGTACAATAAACTGCCTTACCAGGAACACACAGTTTATCAGCATTCCCTATGTAGTCAGGTGGGCATGAGCATACTGCTTCATGGTTGACTGGTCGACAGTTGGCCCGAATGCCACAAGTTCCATAAAAACTGCAAGGATTCTGACACCTTTTGTTAATGCATGACTTATCATAAGGACAGGAATTATCAGTACGACAAGCATCAATACAAGTTCCTTCTTCACATATATTTCCAATAGAACATTCTTCATCTCTAGTGCAGACATCAATAGGGGCTAATAAAGTACAAAAGAGAAATATTTTAATGTATATTATATAATTATACTTTATGGATTGAAGTAGGATAGTTATGTGCAACTTTAAATAAAACCAGGAATAGATTCCATAAAAAAATACACAACATGGTATTATTTTTTGGCAACTCCAAACTGATAACTAGAGCTTGATATATATTCACTATTTAATCAACACAAGACCCTGTTATAATAAAAGATGATTAATTAAAGAATTTAAATATCTGTTAGTCTTAATAATTTTATAGATTTTAATTTAATTTTGTTATTAAAGATGTGATAGCCTTTATTTTTAGAATCACACTACTAATTTAACCAAACTGAGTATTCTGATAAAAGATGTTGCTGTAACATTTTTCTTCCCTAAAACTAGTTTTATTATTTAAATATCTTTCAGCTTAAACTAATAAAACATTTCTCCAGAAAAAGAATACACAAACTTACTATGAGTACACTGCACATTGGGATCACCTGTAAAACTAACTGGGCATGTACATACAGGCCTGTGGTTGTTAGGGACACAGGTAGCATATTTACCACATGACTCAGGGAAAGTACAAGGATTTTGACACTGTCTGGTGATACAAGCTTTGTTCAATGGGCAGTTACTATCATCACGACAACCCACTATACAGGTAAAGAACAAACATACATATTCAGATGTGAAAATAACACATTACAAAATAATATATCAAATTTATAAGACAAAACTCCAAAAATTATGTTATTGCATTAAATATAGCCTGTAATTACTAAAATACTGAAACAATTTTAACTGAAAACAGTTACACAAATATATCATAAAATGATATTACAGAGATAAATCAATACAAATACTTGTAAATTGGGGGTAGGGGGAGTACTCACTAATACACTGGTGAGCTTCACATATCTTCTCAATTTCACAATCTTTATCCTCATTACATGAAACTTGGCTTCCTGGGACTATGAAAAGAAAATGAGCGTTATGAAAACCTGTATGAAAGATGATTGTCTTTTTTTTAGTTCATTTCTAAATATCTCAACTATTGTTAAGAAATATCATTTTCTAAAATTTTTAGTACAGTCCATATTTGTTATTAATGACTATACAGTTTTGTCTCAAAATGGCAACAATGAACATATGTTCTTAAACAATAATGCATCTTAAGCTAAGTTCTAAAAAAATATGTAAAACTTACTGGGTTTACAATAATCAGAAGGCTGGCCTGTGAAGCCTGGTTTACAAGTACACAATGGTCTGTGTACAACTGGACGACAATCTGCATTTCGACTGCAAACATTTTGCATACTGCATGGATCAATACACTGGCTGTTGATGCAGGCTTTATCAAAGGTACAGTCAGAGTCTCGACGGCATCCAACTAAAGAAAAAGTTCAATTGAGTGACTAAACTTGTGTGTAATTTGAGAGGATACTCTACTGTTACAGCACAATAACCCTAATTTCTTCTTTTTATAATGACTTAATACTTGGCCAAATTAGCAACTGCAAATTTATGTAATTATAAGTTAAGGTGAAATAACATCTTCAGTAAACAGCAACTCAGTGTCATGAGTTTCAAGATAAAATATAATTAATTTATAATACTGAAACACTGGCTTGAATGATAAAATAATTACATTACTATGATTAACCTATTGATGACTTAAAGACAGAAGTAACCAATGAAACTATTAGGAGTATTTCAATAATTACAAAACAATTCTTCACTTAAAGATTTTCAAAACCTTACTTTTTCTAATTAACAATATTAGTTTCCATAAATCACAAAAAGCAATGATTCATTGGATCTAATAGCTTGTATATAAACTACTGATACCTTCAGTGTTTTACCAATCTTACGAACAGTACTTCACAAACTAAATGTCAAACTAGCTCCACTATCATGCATCATAGTCAAGGTAATCAATACTGAAGTATTTACAAAGACGAAACATACCAACACATTTGCCATTTTCACAGATTTTATCAGAGTCACATGTCATGTCTGAGCAACACTCTTCAACATTGCCTAGAATATGAAAGAAAATATATATATATATATATATATTTGTGATAATCCACGTGCTCTATCATTATTTTAGCTAAAGCATTAATCCATTAGCTACTACTGATAAATAAATTTTGAACAATTTGCTCTGTCACATTCTTCCCTTCTTGTAAACAAGGCTTGTTCATGGGCCATATCTCAGGCTTGTACAATGATCATTAATTAGCAAAGGCAAGTACTCTACTAATTGTGATAAAGAGTTAATGCAATAGCTACTGCTTATATGGCACTTATTTAGAGCTCAATCTACCATAAATTTATCATTTTAGCTGAAAAAACTCCTTTTATTCTACTCATTTTTATGTAGTTTCTAAATAAATGAAAGGTTTATAAATAACAAAAATAATTCAAGGAAACAAAAATTATTATAATAAAAAGAGGGTAACAAAATCTTGATATGTTGGATAGGCTTAAATAATACCAGTTTTTCTTATATCATGCATTTACAATAGCTATACTTAGGAAATACCTTTAAGCCTAAAGCAATAAATAACTGCATTGAATCATCAACTAAGTACCTTCAGTAATTGAGGCTTTGACCTGAAGTTAAATTGTACAAGATCAATAACCTTGTTTTTGGTGGAAAAAATGTCAAGAAATGAGATTTTATTTTAATAATAAACTAAAAGAATTGTGTTATTATTACTGATTTTTTTTTCATAAATTACTTATTAACTACTATAGTGTGGCATATTGCTTATTTCAATTTGGCACAAACTTTACTACGAACTACAATCAATAATTTCTTTTATTAAGAAGTCAGTTATTTCTTTAACTTCTTGATAGTTTTGCAAACATAAAGATAATTGTAAACGTTATTGGTTAAATGTACTTTAAAATTTAAAAGGAGCACTAAATAGTTTATCTTTCAAACATTTTATTCAACATAAATAAAATAAATATTTTGTCATACATACTATTGCAAAAACAAATGTTTTAATAAATAAAAATAAACTTACAATCTTCCTCATTCTCACAATGGGTTCCATCTGGAATACACTCTACTTTATGGTTGATAACGTGACATAAGGTATTGACACCACAAGCATCTTTCAGCTGGCATGGGTTTTTACAATATCCTTCCACACATGACTTGTCATATGGACAGTGGGAATCAATGCGACAACCAACTGAACACACAATCATGAATGAAATAAAATTAAGTCTTATTTAAACCAACAAAGAGTTATTCTTTTTTTCCATTAGTTTATTTGCAAAAACTGTGGAATGAGCATATAATATAACTAGATTTACTCTACTGATAAATATGAGTGACACATAATAATATTAGAGGTTTAATATTTTTCTGAACAAAATTGTGACCTGTTCTTTCAGCTTCAGAAGTATACAATCTCTTCATGAAAGAACTAGTTATGTTTGAGTGTTCTGGTGCTTGTGTTTCTTTTAAAAGCTAACACAAATGTTTGTTGATCTTGTTTCATTGTATAAAAAGGATAACTTCTTCAGTTATTTACTAAATATGATTATCAATAACTTTTTTATATTTGACATATATATATTCATACAAAACAATCAGTACCCTATATCACTGTCATAAGAGGAAAAATTAATAATCCATATTTCATGTTGAACAGTTTTGACATAAAATCAATTAACTTTAACATTTTCTTATTTGAAGTCAATATGAAGAGGACCATTGTTCTGTCAGGAAGAACTATTGTGAAATTCAAATCTGAAATTATTGCCTATGGAAGCAAATATACTTGTGATAAAATGTTTTTTTTTTCTATACTTTACTGAAAATATACGTTTCAAACGTGAATGACAATATAACACATTTTATATACTATTTTGTTATTTCAAAATAAAACAAGATACAGCTTCTCTTACTTACCAATACATTTATTACTGATGCAAAGTTTACCCAATTCACAGTCTATGTCAACAGAGCAATCTTCAATCACTAAAAAAAAAATATATATATATACTATAGTGGAAAATTCATCTATGCAAGAAATATTGCATTCTGAATATTTAACATGAGTTGTTACAACCAATATCTATTTTTAACTATCATTTCATTTCATACCTATGTATTGCTTAGGTTTTCCAATTTTAAAATATGTAACAATCACTTTTATATGCTAAAATATTACAAATCTATTTCTCAGAAGTTGTCTAAACTTGTTAAAGAACAACAAACTACTATAAATTTTATATTCCTAAAACGTATTTAGTATTAAGGACACTGAACACCAGACGACGTATTTTCAAATAATAAAACAATGTAATATTACCTGGGTTACAGTGTATTTTTGCATTTCCAGTATAACCTTCAGGGCAATGGCAAACAGCATGATGATTGATGGCATGGCATACAGCTAGAGTGTGACAAACATCTTTTTTACTGCAAGGATCTTGACATTGATGATCCATACAGGCCATGAAAAACTCACAGTCACTGTGACTTCGGCATCCATCTATAAGTTTTGCATTAAAAGCTAATTTTATGAAACAGATGTCTGATATATTGAAACAGTTTTAAAAAAGACATAGTTAAAACTCTTGTCAAAATGATAATTTATGCTGATCAGAGGCGTCATTAGGTACTTAAAAAATATGAGGCTCAGGCCAATAAGTGCAGGAATTTTTGGTGTTTCAGTATGATATTGATTATAGTTTCCTATTCTGATTTTTAAAAACACCATCTGGGGATTCTGGGTACTGTCAAATAGAAAATGGGCACGGGCCCCATGTTCTAGTGTCTAGCGATGCCTCTGAAGCTGCTGTCTTCATCCTTCAATTATTGTAATTCCTGGACTTCTTTTGTCCTAAAAATTCTTAGTCATTTTATATGGCTAAAAAAAATTCATATATTTGGAATAATTTTGGTGAAATATGTTATTAGTAGAAGTGAATTTCTGTGGGATTTTCATCCAATAAACCTGAAAGTAGGTTCAAATGGGATACATTTGTCAATAAACAGTGATTAAAACACAAACTACAGTAAAAAGTAAGGAGAACAAGAGATGGAAAATTAAGAAGTTAGGAAATAAAAGCAGTATAGTAAAGAAATGTATCATGTATTTAACTGATTAAAGTATATGCAATCAAACTAAGTTAAACATACAGACAGAGTAATAAATATTGATAGATGATAACTTATAAATATATATTATTATAAACTTTTCAATGCAATACTTACAGTATAACAATGATAATTAATAGTAAACATTCAGTACTTACACACACAACTGGTGTCTTCACAAATCTGGCCTTGAGCACAATCATTGTCTGAAGAACATCTTTTTGGCAATACTGAAAATATAAAACTTCACAAAGTGTTTCTTATCTACTAAAATTATAAATTAACACTATGTTATTAAGTAACTTGTTCTCAAAATTATAATGCATGCTTCGAATTCTGATAAAAAAGGGTAATAAATTATACTAATTAATGTTAGCATGAATAAATGCATGAATTAACAAGTCTTAAGTACAGCTGTCTATGTATCTATTAATCACACAAATATGTGAGTGCAAAAAAATTAAAATAAAAATTAACAAAACAGTACTAATTAATCCATTGAGTAGGAATTGACAATAAGATGAGAAAATAAATATTAACTGGAACATACCAACACATTGTCCACTTTGACAAATAGTTCCCACCAGGCACTCTTCATCTGAGTTACATATTCCAACTGTTCATTAAAAAAGTTATACATATTATTTAAATAGATGAAGTAAAGTATACACAATAAAAGTTATGGTTTAAATGCCAAAAGCTAGTGAAACATTGAAAACCATTTTTTCCCACATTCCACAGCTTAATTTGTCCATTTTGAATTTAAAACAAAAGACATTTCATTCATAGTTAGAAAGATTTTTATCACAAATTTTAAGCCTATTGGTTAAATTATATACAATTCTTTAGAAATTAAAATATAGCAGTAGGATTATGTCACTTGCTAGTAAAATACTGAATGATAAATATATGATACTTAATGTTGTTAAGAAGCAGGTATAGATTATTAATAGCAGTTATAATTTATCACACTTCATGTAAAGATGGTATATTTTTCTAATTTCAATCTACATTTGCTTTTGTCAGATGAAAAAAATTGTACAATTTGTTAAAGACATATATACTTTTAAATGAATATCATTTTAGTATTTTTATTATAATAAAAATAAAACTCTAATAAACAAAACATATGTGCAGTGAGTTTTAAAATTTGGAATTGGTTTAAGGCTATATGAAATTTTTTGTTAGAAGTAGATTTGGATATGCAACTAAAGTTTTGTTTAACATTATGAATGGAATTTAGTGATAAATAATAGATTTGGGTTATAATATCTCACTATTCTTAACATGAGATACAGAAAAAACACATATGTATTTTGTATTTGAACAGAAAGTCTATTAACTTCAGTGCATGGCTTTCAACTTACTCTTTTGACATTCAATCCTGGCATTACCAGTAAATCCTGGTGGACATGTGCAGATTTTCTCATGTCTTTCAGTAAAACAGTTAGCTTGTAATCCACATGCTTCTTTGAATAGACATGGGTTTTGGCAATGACCAGAGATACAAATTTGGTCAAAGGGACAGTTGGCATTACTACGACATCCCTCTGGAAAAACAATTCATTTTGATAAAATCAGAAAGACTTTAAAAGTTATTGATTTTTGAGAACTTAAGGATTAGTGAACTTTCAAGTTACGATAATTTTATTTCAGAAACATTATTAATTGTAACATCAAGCAAAAATTATCATAAATTTATTATTCGAAAAGACAACAACTTGAAAGAAATTTGTTAACAGTTTACTTGTAACAAATATTAGCATATACATCTAATACGAGGTTTATTTCCTTGTTGTGTTGTTAAGCATAATGCTGTACATTGTGCTATCTATGGTGTACCCAGCACAGGTATTGAACTATGAATTTTAGAATTACATGCCCTCAAGCTTATTGCTGAGCCACCAGGAGCCATAATACATGGAAATCTGCTATATATATATAATTCTGCATTTTAACATTGTCAGAACTTGTATATAACCGATGCAGGAATTAAACTAATTGTACTAATGGTAATATAAATTTAAAAAATTTACAGCAAAAAATATGGTATATTTTTTACTTAATTTGGATTTTAACCATATATATGTATGTGTGTGTGTGAAATAGCAAAAATTTAAAATGATAGTTACAGATGTTTTTAGCCTAATGTAAAGAGAGATAAACAACTTTTTTGCAAGAAAACAATTTTTTGTGATGTGTTTCTTAACCAAATTAAAAAACCTACTCTGATGAATTAGGATAATTTTAGATAATCAATTACTACATGCTGATTTTCCTCAAGTTGTACACAGTAGCTTCCATAACTTTTAATGAAACATAATGATGCTATCAGTTATCTCTACATAAAAATTAGATTGGATAAGAACAACTTTTTACAGAAAAAGCACGTTAACTGTCTAGGACATTATACAATATATAAAAGAATTATCTGAGGGCAGGCTAAACAATAATGAGTAATAATGAATGATAAACAAAAGCTACTAAACATATTTACATTCATTTGCAGAAATTAATGCCTTAGAAATTATAAAGTCAAAAAAATTGAGTTATATTTTCATTGAATTGGAAAATTTCAAAATTCACTCAGTGTACTCTGCAGTATATTATGAAGAGCAACAGAAGCTTACCAAAACATTTGGTCAATTGACATATCTCACCAAGCTGACATTGACTATCATTTTCACATTCCTCTCGAACTAGATAAAACAAAAATGCAAATTAAATTGATTCTTAAAGGAAAGGAATTATAATCATATTCTTTCAAACTAAACTTATTATAAATAATTTTATGGAAATTAAATCTCTATTACATTTTTATAACATAATTAATTGCATAAAAATTTCAAATATTTGAACAGTAACTTCCTACAAGTAAAAATAACAAATTATGTAATGTTTCATATTCAGTGTATAATTAGTAAAGTTTTTAAGTATCAGCACATTTCAATTTTCATAAAAAGTAACTTAGTATCTAAAGTATTGTATTAAAATCTGTTATTTCCAGTCATGATCAAAATAGGAGAGTAAGTGTCATTTTTTTTATAACCATTGTTTCTAACTATGATTACTTGCTCACTTAAAAGAATTTTCATGCAACCAAACAATAAATATTGATGTCCCAAGTCAAATGGGATATTTTCATATGTAAGCAAATAAATAAAAATGAGTAATTTTATTTATCATAATCCCTCTCTAATTTAGCAAGGATTTTAACTTTTTATAGAACTTACACTTTAATCATTTACAGAACTTTTAAAATCTTTTAAAAGGCTAAATAAACTCAGTTTTTTGCACATGAAAATCTTTAAAAAACATAAAACATTTTTTGTATATTACTGCATTACTTGAATGCAGATGTTATAATTTTCCTATACTGAAAAGATATTACTGATAGCTACTTACTTAAAAAATATTATTGCATGCCACAAGCCTTGAGCTCCCACGTACCTTACAATCAACTGATTCAAATGCGTCTTGTATGAAAATTATCATGCAACAACCCTCCACCAATAAGAGTGCAACATGCTTGAAGCATATTTGATTCTACCGAACTATCACTTTGAGTTTTGGCAGTGGGGAGGAAGGGTGGGAAGCGTGAACAGAAGTAAGTACCTATAAGAAATATATTTTCAGTATAGGAAAATTATAACTTCTGATACGGTACATTTCACTTCGCTCATATAAATAGCTAGAATCCCACATTGAATAGGTAGGGACCGTGTGTGTGAGGAAAAAACAAAGCAGCACTCCTCAAAAGTGTCCGAAGAACACCCTAAAAGGATAGACCCTCAAAGGAGAGGATCATACATGGGAGACTACACCACATCTGTACCAGGTACACTCTTTGTCCAGTTTGGAAAGAGGTGTTGCAGATATGGGTGAAAAAAGGAAGGAGCACATCTCTATGGGAAAGAGCAATGGTGAGATAGGGATTCAAACCACCACATAACAAATCTAAACCCCATAGAGTACTGGAATGTGGGTGAAAGAAAAAAGATGTGCCCCTAGAAGTAGAGTGGCTTGGGTGTGATGGACTGTACATGGCAAGTCAACTGCAACCAAAACCCAGGCTGCTGGGAACTACCATCCACACAAAGATAGGATGATGATCATACCGTCAATAAGTCAACTACTATCCAAATCCCAGCCACCAGGAACTGACATCCATGTGGGGATACGAAAGAGGATCATACCATCTTCCCCTCAAGACTAAAGGGAATCTCGTATCCCCTCCCCCAGAATCTATGAACGGGATACATGATAGCAATGTGAGAAATTGATTGACCAATCCAGGAACCTGCCTCCAGATGATTGGTATCGTAAAGATGTCTCTGTAATGTAAACTATCTCACTCAAAACCAATCAGTTGATTGTAAAGTACGTGGGAGCTCAAAGCTTGTTGCAAGCGAAAATTTGTTTTGCATATAGAGGGCAGCACTGAACAAGAATAGCTATTTATGTGAAAGGAGGTAATACCATATCAGCATTCAAAATTATAATATAGGTAAAAGGAAAATTTATCTATATAACTTTATTATGCCACACTCATGTTGCTGAAGAAAGAGTAGATTTTTTTAGCAAAAATGAATGTTTTACTTACTACTGACACATTTGTTGTCTTCACAAACTTTTTCTTTCTCACAATCAGCAGAAACAGAACAGCCATTAATGTCTAGAAGCAAAAAATATATTTATAGATTATGTAGAAAGGGATCATAGTTAATAAACCGTAAATGAACGATAAGGGTTGATTGATTAATTAGTTTGATTATCAGTACAAAAAAAAACATGTATATGTGACTTAGTGACCATTTTATTGTATGTATTCTAATTAAGTTTTAGTTCACTCAAATTTCAAGGTTCCAGATTTATAAGTCACTCATAGTTTCAATATTATATTGTATTCTTTATTCTGATTTACCATTTAGCAACATTTGGGTTTTTTGTCCATTTGAAACAGGTGCAATATGATAATAAGCATAATCACACTTTGTGTTAATGGTAAAATTTCTAAACAATTAGATGAGGTAGCTTTGCACTCCAGCCTTGAACCTAACCTTATAAATTTAGTTTTTTGTTTTACGAAAACTTTTGGTAAAACCTTGTCCTAAACAATTCAAGTCTACAGAAAATATACAGATGATACTTGTATAATCTCTGAAGCTTTAAACTTGTTCCTTCAATATCTAAATTAAAATTTCAAACATCCAAACATTATATTCACTATTGAAAATCAAATGCATGACAAACTCTTTTTTTAGATGCTCTTTCATAAATGACAATGGTAAAATGAACTCTAAATTTTATTATAAGTCTATCTTCAGTGGTTTGTATTCACATTTTTTAAAAATTTAGTACTTAAGAATTTAAATACAACTTAGGTACATCTATAATATTCAGAGCCTTCAAGATCTTGGTAAATCAAAAATTGACAACATCAAACAAACACTCTCTAGGAGCAGTTTTCTCTTGTCTTTTTTAAAGTTCAAATTCACACTGATTAGCTCAATATCCAGACCAATGTGAAATATGAAGAAAATTATCAAAATAGCATATCATTGAATTTTGTTAAAACATATCTTCAAAACAGATAACATTAAAACACTTTTTCAACATTAAAGATACCTCACCTGTGCCTTTTTGCATCTTACTATGAGCATGTGAAGAGTTTTGAATATGCTTGCTCGAATCTCTTGCAATAAAATTTAGAAACTATCTCTTAATCAGAACAAAAGTATCCCACATCTCATGTTACTCTATCTAGGTATATTAGTGACACTTGAAATAAACATTCTGTAAAATTCTCTTAAATGGTGTTATCAATAATTTATTTACACAGATACTATAGAAAATATTATTTATATATGTAACATTTAAAAATAAACAAATATATTAAGATACAAATTAAATGTAATGAAAAGTTCTAATGGAGCATGCTATATTATACCAAACTCAGAAAAAAGGTACTGTTGCAAGTATTTTATATAGATAAGTGAGATAGTTTGTAGATGTTACTATCTGTACAAAAACAAAATGAATGGTATGGTTATCAATGTTAGTATGATGTACTTAATTTAAAAAAAACTGATAAAATCAGACTTACCTTCAACACATTCTATAAGGGGATTTCCAAAAAATCCAGAAGGGCAGTTACATGACAATTCATGAGATTCTGTTTTACATACTGCATGAACTCCACAGGTCTCACTGAACCTACAAGGATCCACACACTTCCTCCTACTGCATACCTTATCAGTTGGACAACTGTTATCAGACCTGCAACCCTCTAAGGGATAATAAATATTTTTTTTTTCTGCAAAATATGAAAACTAAATTTAGATGCATATGCTAGTTTTACTCATCCTAAGTGGTCTTCTCACCTTGAAAAGTTTATAGATATGTTGTACTTATATTTTTCTAGATATATTTCCTCGCCTTAGATTTAAGCCAAAGATGTGTCACATGACAGGTGAATGATCCACCAACTGAGTTACATGATTAATCCAGTAGAGCTTGCTAGCAAGGCACTTTTTAACAACTCAAACTGCTACATGTAAACTGTAATTGTATGTTTATGTTGTAATACTTTTTACTATTCTAAAACGTTATTAACTGTATAATTTAAGTCAGTATTTGCTACTGTTTTCTGACTGCCCATTTTTAGTTCATTAATTACATAAGAATAGAAAGACCTAAAAGAAAACAGCAATATCAATTACAAAAATTAAATCAGAAATATCTATTGCTCTCTAATCATCATCGAAATGGGGTAGACCTACAAGAAGCCTTTTCATGAAGCAGTATTTTTCACTGTACTAATATAGATACAAGTGAGGTAATATAAATTGCTCAAAACAATTAACGGATAATTGAAAATTGTAATATTAAAGCTATAACAGGGCAAAACCACTAATATAAAAACAAGTTAACTGTAGATTTTTTCCCACATTTCTTTTAATTTGTTCGATTAAGCTTGAAATGAGAGATATATGTGTAAAAATAACATTTCAGATCTATCTTTTGTCTCTCATGAGTCACATCCTAATAAGCTCTTTGTTTAGAACACATCATGATTGGTCATTCAGCCTATACTCATTTCATTTGTTTCAGCCACCACTTTGAAAAGAATCACAGAGTTTAAAGTGCTCTAAACTGTTTATTTGCTGAACTATAGATAGACCTTAGACAAAACAATTTGATGTGTTATTCAACTGGTGAGCTGTCTGATAAAGTCACACAATATTAGTAGGCTGTTGTGTATGGCCTCAAGTGTCTAAAAGCATCATTAAAGAATGGTTTAGAAGATGATGCATCTATTAATTCTGGTCTGCTGCTAGCTCGAGATAGAAGCTCAAAGATTTAATCAGATGTTCATAGCCACAGCTATGTCAGAGTATAGAATGCTAGAAATAAATTTCATAAGGCCAGCTTATATACCCACTGAGGTGCAGTCCACATAAAGCAAGGCACAAAATGCTTGCCACAATGGTACCAAAAACATGTCCACTAGGCCAACAATGAGTGGAGAAATAGTTCTTTACAGATGAGTATGCTTCACTCTGCAATCAGGTAGCAAGCTTATATCCTTTGTGAAGAACTAGATACACCTCATTTTCATACAGAAACATGACACATATGACAGTGGTGGAAATATAGTAGGGATCACACACATCCTAAAACCCTTTGAATTACCATATACTGGTGCCACTAGCTCTAGCTTTGTCATATTGGGTGATAATGCCTACCTTCCACTTGTTAAAATGGTCAACACTATTTATTGAAGAAAAGAAGAGACTGAATGGATTGGCCTTCACACTTACTGGATTTATCTCATTGAGCATGTTCTTAATTGTCCATCAAGTGATTCCAGACACTAAAATGACTTTTTGTTCAGAGATATGGTTGAGGGTAACTCAGGAATTAATCACAATACTGATTTTAAATATGCAAAATCAGTACCAGGTTAGACTACACTTGCTGTTGTGGTGACCATATTTCACACTGAAGTGAAATCTTATCAAATGTAAATTCACCAAACCTTCATTTGTGAGCATAGCCTGAGTAACCAATCATTTGAATTTCAGATCATTTTACTGACCATTAGATGTCTAACTTGCATAAAATGTAACTACAATGGGTGATTGATATTATATTATGGTTTTTTGCTTATCATACATAAAACATTATAAATTCTGATTATACTTTCATTGCTTTGAGCAGTGTTTTTAGAAACAATCAATTCTTTATCCAAATCTGAAATTGTTCTTGAATCTACAAACCTGAAATAACTATAATAATTAATTGTACAGAATACCAACCTTCTGTATCTTTGGTAAAAGATTCCCTAAATATCATTACATCAAGGCTATAAATTGAACACAATTTCTTCACTTGTTGGGAGAGATAAAGAAAGACTTGTTTAAACAGATGAAACTTCAAGTGCTGTACAGAGTTAAACTTAACTTTTGGCATAAAGCTATAAGCTGACCACATACTGGAACTAAATTATAGTTAGAACATTAGATATGGAAGCCCAACAGGAGTGAAGGAGAAGAAAATATTCTATATGGCATCTACAGTTTATTCTAACAATAATTTAACAAAATATTATGGGATTAAAAATGTGAATGGCATGAATATTTTACGACAATAACAAAAGCTCCAACAATAGTAAAAAATTCAAAACACTATAAACATTACTTAATAATATATTAATAATTCTAACTGAAGTCGAATTGTACTGCATTCACAAAATAAATCAAAGAATTAAAGATATAGGCTAAATATGAGAGTGCATTTTTTATACTGTAATAACTTTAAGCAGAAGATTTATGATGAAAACTATTAAACTTATTGCCTCAAAGTATGTATAGAGTGGTAAAGAATTAAAAAAAAAACACTAAAACATTACTTACCAGTACACTGGTAATTCTGGCATATTTCTGAAGCACCACAATCAGAATCAATAAAGCAATCCACTGAGAAAAAAAAAAGCAATCATATGTATTACGTATTTTCCAGCAATGGCTAATAAAAAGTAACTGTTTGAAATTTTATTCATTAATGATGGCTTAAAATTGGATTTATAAATGAAATGAATTAGGTTCTATCCTGAAATTAATATTACCCCTTATATTATATAAAACTATGAAAAATAAACTGTTAAAAATTAAAAGTACTTATAAACCAGTCTGATGCTATAAAAACTCAAAAACACACATATATGTGTAAAAACAAATGACTTATTAGAATAATAGATTGTGTACAAAGTAAAATACCCTTAAATAGACAATGAAATATGAAAACAAAAAAATTAAAGACAGGATATGAAGATTTGATTGTTGCTTGTAAAGATACACAACGGTGAATTGTTCAAGGCAGGTAAAGGGAAAGAGAATAATAATAAGCTTATGAACTGCATCTAACAGTGACCAAGCTTTTTAGTTGATTGTATTGTAGAATACTAACATATTTGTATGTAGAATGTAATAAAATGCACATTTAAGATACTCCAAACCATTACTTTTAAAATTAGTAATAACAATTTTCAGTTTTTAGTAGTTGATAATAACCAACTGTTTTTTCAATTATTCTTTTTTTCTATTTCATCATTTGTTTGTGTTTCCATGCTGGTTACAACATACTCCACTTATAAGCATTTTCTATTATTGTCTCTTCTACTTTAAAACGCTCTCTGAATAAGGGAATAACTAAATATCTATTCCTTGTTCTTTGCTTTTCTCATTCTCTTATTTTTGTATGTTTAGTGCAGTATTCATTTGATGTTTCCAGTTGGGATTAGGGTTTTGTTGTTATCTAATTTTGACTTTATGTTTTACACATGACTATTTCAGCCCCACATGTAGCCTGGTGCTCTGATTACTTTTTATGCTACATGAAACTCAAATACACTAAATAGAATAAATAATTTTAGAAACTTGTACTTTTTAAAGATATTATTTCTAAAAGAGAAAATATACAAAGATACTAAGAAACATTTATTTTATCAGTAATTATTAAATCAACCATAATAATTATTTCTTAGTTCTGAAGAGATTGTTTTGTTTGGATTTTACACAAAGCTACACGAGGGCTATCTGTGCTAGCCATCCCTAATTTTGAAGTTGATAGAATAAAGAGAAAGCATCTAGTCTACACCACCCACCAACGTTTGAGCTACTTTTGGCAGACCAAATAGTTGGATTTAACTGTCACTCTTATAATGAAACCACAGTCTCAAAGTGTAAAATGTGATTTTATGTGTGTGTGTGTGTTAACAAAACATAAACCATGAAAGCTCAGCTCACATGCCACTATGCTAACCATTGGGTCAGGTTTGGCCCAGTTTTTAGTGGAATATTAAATAATAAATAAACCATGATATATTAAACATCTGTTAAAAATATGTAAGATACTCAAGTTAAAAGAATTCAGTTTCATTTTACTTTAACAGAAAATAAGTAAATGTAACATACCTTTGATACATTCAACTCTTGGGTCACCAGTATAATTATGAAGACAGATACAGAAAGGCTGGTGGTCTACTGGTTGGCACTGAGCATTTGTGCCACAAGCTGTTGGACTGCTACATGGGTCTAATGAATAAAATGCAAAATATCAAATTAAGTAAAAGTAACAACAGGCAAGTAACAATTGACAAATCTTATTAACCAGATTACTGGTTATATGAAGATAGCACTTGTAGAGGATAATGTGAATTAGCACGAATATTTATTGAAATTAATTGTCATTGTTTGAAATGAAATGAAGAATATAAACTCAATTAACTAAAATGAGTATACGCCTATGAAAATGATATTGTTTTTATAGCACTGTCCAGTCATATAAACAAGCCACTCAATTTGTGCCTTAAAATTCTCTGATTATTGGGATGATACTTTGTGGAATAATAGAATTATACCCCATATTACAAGAAGAAGACAATTTAAATTATCCCCACGTTTAGTTAGGCATTGACCATTCTCTTGGATTGTGAGATTTATAACACCACCCACAATTAAGCAACTTTATTAGCCCTATAGAAATAACCATGATACAAGGGATGACATAACTTGTGAAAATCTCTTTATAATATTAGTTAAAAGTAAAATTGAATACTTATAAAAAGAGGTTGTTACAAGTAGGTCAAATAAAATTTGTTTTTGAACAGAAGTGAACAAATCAAAGAAACTGAGTTTTTATTTGAACTGTTTTTGCCAAATTCTTGTTCATGACAGGGAAACATCATTAGAGGCTTAAACAACAGCTATATTTATTTATTTAAAATACTGGTACATATCTTTTATTGTCTTTCTTAATAACCATTTTAGAATGAAGATAACATGCTTTTCCATCCACATAATGTGTGTTTTAGAAATTGAGAAAACAAGAAAGGAAACATACTTTCATTTCAGTGCAAATAGTTTAAATAAACTAATTCATAAATCTAAACTTACTGATGCACAGTAGATTGATGCAGGTATCTGTTAGGGGGCATTCATAGTCATTCCTACAGCCAGCTGGAGAGAATGCACACACACAAAATAAAATGAAACAACTGAGGTTAAAACCATCAAATTTTAACGTGAAGTTTATCATATAAAACAATTTATAAAGCATGCAAAAGAGTGTAAGCTTTACAAAATTATAATAATTTATAAAATATGACTGTAAATCTGTCAGACTACACATAATTTTAATGTAATTTTGATGAAAGGCAGAAAAAATAAATCTCTTTGAAAAATTCACTTTAATAGAAGTAACTGCATTACTTCTTCAGAGAATGGATTAAGAAATGACTTGTAAACAACTGATAAGCATGTTGAACTAACAGGTATTTATCTACGGTGTTTACTTGAATTTCATATAAATATATTTGTTTGTTTCCATTCACTGTTTAAGAGTGTTGTGCAAGTACTGAAAAGAGAATGAAAGAATGATACATGGAATAGTACAAAACATCAACTTACGGCTACACTGTCCTTTTTCACAGATATATCCATCTGGACAATTATTATCACTTGTGCAAATAACTAACAAAGAAAATAAAACCAACATATACAACTTTGATTTGGAAATAAGCTTAATTCTATAAATGATTATACTGATGCAGTAGAAGATTGCCAATCAGAAATTTATATACTGAATAATAACGTAGATACACTGAGAAAAGCAGTAATTTCAAAAATATTGAGAGGAAATAGAGAACAGTGAAATAATAAAACTACAAAACACTAAAAAAACATGGATCAGTTTATGTTACTTTAATTAAATCGTAAAAGGGAAAATAGTTTCAAAAATATTAGATGTTCAGTTCTGGTAATCTATACTTAAAAAAAGGAGTAAAAAACATTACAACTTCTTGAAAAAAAGGGTTCAATAAGTTGCAGATACACATAGTTGTGTGACAGTTATGTCAGACTAGTGTTCCACATCAGTATCACATTAAAGAAATATAAAGTTTCTAAAACAAGCATCAACCTGAGAACTATTTTAAAACACCTGTATAACTAAAAGTGAATAAGACCAAAATATTATTTATCACTTCAAGTTTGGACATAAAGAGTTTAAAACCAATATATTTAAGACAATATTTTCAAGATATTAAAGTAATAAATTCACACATACATAATCAGAAGCTATATATTCTAATCACATTTAATTTACTCTTCTTTCTCTATAAATAAACGTAGTCATATGTTTGTGTGCACTTGTTTGAAATAACTGCAAAACAGTTACATAAAAAAAGATGTTTAAAAAGGGGTATATAGAATTTCTAATATTGATTTAAATCTCTTGAAGTATAAAATATTTTAAATCTCTCAGTTCTTACCACTGCATCGGTGGTCTATACATTTCTCATTGTCTAAACACTCAGTATCACTACTGCAAGCAACTGAAAGTAAAACAGAAAATTATTTTTCTACTAACTGAATTTTGTGAACTTAAAGAAGTTAAATGAGCATTAAAAATAGTCAGTTTAATATTTTTGTGAAATATAAACAATATTAACTACAGATTAGTAGTTAAAAAGTCAGATATATACATAGAAAATAGACCATAAATTCCCAGAATGAAAAACTCTCTTGTTCTTACTTGTGCACATCGATGCTTCACAATATTTTCCAGGCCCACATTCATTGTCACTAGAACAAGTTGTTGATACTGCAAAAATAGTGACAGCTTTATTTTGTTGCATATTTAAAAGGTTTCACTGTAACAATATTTTGTATATCAATATAGTATACTAAAACAGAAACAAAAAATCAATATGGAACACTAATATAGATATGTACAGCTTTTATAAAATACATTGCAATACATCAATAGATCAGCAAAACAGTTATAAAACAACCCTCCAAGCAGTTAGTTCCCTCATCATAGCAGAGTTGTTTGTGCATCTTAATAACAAACAGGTCACAACATGAACAGATATATCATGAACCCAAAGATAAATAAAAAATGAAGCTAGCTTCAAAGTATTACCAAATGTTCAACACTTTTATGATTGTTACCAAGTATATAAAACAGAATACTTAAAGCACAGCATGTTTTACCTCTATTACACTCTTCCCTGGGATCCCCTGTGAGCTCTGGTGGACACACACAGTCAATCAAATGGTTGGTTACCTGGCAAAGTGCATTGGTTCCACAAATACTAACATTATCACATGGATCTGAAAAATATTACAGAATCCTAAGGTTATTTATTTCATGTATTTTAATAAAAAGAATCCAGTAAAAATCAGTTACTAAACAATTTTTCAAAGTTCAGCCAGGAGTGTATGTAATCTAAATAATCCAAAATTAACACTGTAATATCATAAAGACAAAATATGAGAACCATCTAAAACTACTACAGCTATATTATTAAGACATTACAGATTTTCTGACTACAGATGTAAAACATTTCTAAATTTCCATAGGAAGACTCTACTTCAGACAAGCTAAAGGGCTTTAAATATTATGTAAGAAAACGACAGCTGAGTCAATATCTTAATGTAATCAAGATCATTGAGATAAAATGTTATAAAACTGCTATCTTTTTCAATAATTATTTTTCTTAGTGAAGAGTAATATAAATCTCAAATGTTTATTAATTCAAGATTCAGATACATAGTTTCTGTTTGCATACATTTATTTTGATCACACCTGTAATATCTGTAAGAATTATTCAGTAAAACACCTCTAAGCTCAAGATTTTGATTTTATCTGAATAATGTTTGTTTAACTGCTTATAGAATTCATGTTCAGCTTTGAATCAAATGAAAATTATACTTTAAAATGCAGATCATGATAATGCTATGGCTTTGTTTCTTCAAATAACTTCAGTTATATTAACTGTTCTATTAACGGAATAGATAAATGAGTGCATGTGAAACTTACTGTGACATTGATTGCTGATGCAGGCCTCATTAAATGGACAGTCACTGTCTCCTCTGCAACCAACTATAAGGTACAAAAAAATTAAAATTTGTGAAAATGGGGCAAATTTTGCTGTGTTATAGCATGTTTATAATGACTAGTGTTGATTATCTTAAAATAAAATAGATTATGGGAGCAACTAATTGGATGTTTGGCAAAAGCTGTTACACTATATTACTGAGTAGATAAAGTTTGGGCAAGATTAAGTAGAGTTGAGATGTATCAAAATGCATTTCTGGGAGTTGTACATAAAAACCAACCAACTTGGAGATAAAGCACAGGCAAAATTAAGTAAATTAGAAATTATCAAAAAGCTTTAATAAGAGATGTTCAAAATACACATTTTTAACTTTGAGGTAAAGTACAGGCAAAATTAGATAAAGTTGAGATGTATCAAAAACAAAAAAGTTGTAACTTGGAGATAAAATTAAGGCAAGATTAAGTTGAGATGTATCAAAAACAACTCTTTTAAAATAAACAAAAAATATGGAAGTAATAACAACAAAATCAAAAAGACCTTGAAATAATGACAACTACTAGCTACTGATTTTCAAAAGTGATTCATTTTATATTGATATGGCCTGAAAAATATGTGCATTCTCTAGTCACGATATACATATTTATCTTAATACATTACACACTGGACCAAGAAATGTTTTTGTTTTTAATCATACAACCATAGTTTTATTTTCTAATAGTGTTTTACGGTAGTTAACTATATTTTGTGTCAAGTCACTGAACATGCTTGTCCTTTCAGTCATGGGGCATTATGACCAATCCCACTATTTATTGATAAAAGAGTAGCCCAAGAGTTGGAAGTGGGTGCTGTTGACTAGCTGCCTTCCTTCTAGTCTATCACTGCTAAATTAGGGATGGCTAGCACAGATAGTCATCATGCAGCTTTAAGCAAAATTCAAAACAAACCAAGTTATATTTTGCTATAGAATTAGATGCCAGTCAACTGTTAAAATATATACTCTATAAGTTTCACCATTAAGAAAGCCATCACAATGTTTGCACCATTTTGAAGCTATTTTCAATGCTAAACTGTTTTTGAATGCCCAAAAATGTTTATTCACCATCTTATCAAAATATAGCATCTGTTTAACAATTAATTGAAGTGTTATGTACTGAAATGGGTTATTCTGTATTTTAGTAACGTATTAAAAAATATGTTGGATATATTTTGCAAGTATGTTATGTATATTTTAGTAAAATGTGCAAATATTTGACATGTACTGTAAGCAAGAGGATATATATGTACAATATTTGGAAATGAAAATTTTGGATACATGTGGCAGAACATAACAAATATTTATTTATATATCCGAAATTATATTGCAATATATGGAACACAGATCTTCACAAAGGTATATTATATATACATATGTATTCATATATTTTATTCCACATGGGATAATAATATCTCTTACTTCGACATAGATTTTGTTCACAAATCTCTCCTGATGGACAATCTCGATCTTGTAAACACTGGATGATACAACGGCCACTGGAACATTTTTCATTTACTGCACAGTCCTTGTTTGTGCTACAAGCCACTGGGAAAGAAAAAAAATTGTTAAATTACAAATATGAAGTGGAATATGATGTGTTTACTTCAGAACATTTGTGATCATAATAAGTTATAATTTTGGGTAGTAGTTCTTAAAAACATTTTATTTTATAAACTACAGCAAAATATTGTACATGAAAAAGACCAAACAAATTGTATGTTGTACCCATTTTATATATACATATAAAAAATATTGAAACGTTTCTTTGTTTGTTGTTAAGCACAAAGATACACAATGGGCTCTCTGTGCTGTACCCACCATGAGTATCGAAACCTAGTTTTAACATTATAATTCTTCAGTCTTACCACTGTGCTTCTGAAAGACTTTTTGTTATAATGAATAACAAAACTTTGATTTTGTGATGCAAAAGCTTAATTTTGGTATTTCTTACTTGTGTCATTTTAACACAAAAAAACCTTTCGTAAAATGGAATAATACATAATAAAACTGATTATTGTAATTTACTTTACGTATTCAAGCAAAATATCCTATAAAACTATGTGCTTTACATATAACAAAAATCAAAACAATATTCAATAGTCTTACCTCTGCAGAATCCATTAAAACAATAATACCCCAATGGACACTGTGTGTTATCATTACAGGGAGTAGTCACTCTGATACAGCCAACATTAGCATTGGGTCGACCAACAAAATTGGGAGGACAAAAACAAACAGGTCGATGATTTACAACCTTACATTTTGCATTGGGTCCACAAGTGGCACTGCCTTCACAGGGATCTAAAATTATCACAAGAAAATTTAAACAATAGAATAATGTTCGAGTTTTACTTAATTTTATTTGGATGTCATACAAAATTTGTATTATCTACATCACATTAATAATATATGTAGCATGATCTATTCTAACTCTTGTAGCTTTTAAAATTTTAAGTCACAAACTAACACACTTTGTCAATCATTAATGACCTAAATAAGTTACTAAAGTATTTTCGTTTTTAAAAGTCAATCTTTAGGATAATATCTTATTTGCTAAAATAAAAAAAGACTTGTGGGTAAATCATGAATTAATACAATTTAATATTTTTTTCACATTTTGAAAAATTGGACCTTCTAGTAACATATATATGTGTGTACAAGTCAATTTCTTAAATGGTCTATGGATTATGAAAGGTGCAAACTGCATCATTTTGACAACCATCCAACAACTTATTTTTACAAAAAGTTATAACATGACTCAACAGTAAGTCTAAGCTTATAATGCTAAAAATCAAGTTTTATTAACCATGTTGCTCAAAGCATAGACAGCCCACTGTATAGCTTTGAGCTTAACAACAAAGAAAAGATAAACTTACAAAAAATGTAGATATGTGAATAACCGTGTATTTATTTACCTCTACACTGGTTTCTAACACAAGCCAATTGATCTGGACACTGTTCACCAGCTCGACAACCAACTAAAGAGAAAAAAACAAATACTATAACGATGGTTTCAACACTTTTAATGATATATATGAAAAAATCTTAAAAAGAATGAATTATCAAAGCTTTAAAGTGAAGACAAATATATACTGTTTTAGCAGCATAAAGTCACGATTGAGCTTAAGTAACTACAGCTAGATACTACCTAAGCAACAACTAGTTAGCAATGCAACTATGTGATTACAGCTAAATACTACTTATGTATCACAGTTACCAATGCATTTCAGCAACACATAGTTATGAAAGGATTTAAGTGACTGCAGCTAAATAGTGCTTTAACAAAACAGTAATCAATTCAATTCAGAGAACACAATTAAATACTGCTTCAGAAAAAAAAAGTTATCAATACATTTAAGTGATTACTATGAAATACTGTTCAGGAATACAGTTATCAACTGGTTTAAGTGACCACAACTAAATACTACTTCTGAAACACATAGATACCAATACATTGAAGTGACTACAAATAAATATAGCTTCAACTACAAAGTTATTAATTCAGCTAAGTGACTAAGAATAAATACTGCTTCACCAACAGAAATTTATCAATGGATTTAAGTGACTAGAAATCAATACTGCCTCAACAACATATAGCTATCAATGCATTGACTTGACAACAATTAAATACTACTTCTGAAACACATATTTACCAATACATTTAATAATTACAACTAAATACTGTTTCAGTAACATAGTTACTAGTCGATTTAAGTGACTAGAAATACATACTGCTTCAGTAACATATAGTTATGAATTTGTTTAAGTATATATAGCTAAATATTCTTTTAGCAATACATTAAAGTGGCTACAATTTAAAACTGATTGAGCAGTAGAGCAATATCAATGCAATTAAATGATTACAACTAAATAATGTTTTAGTACAATAAAGTGAATACTGCAATGACATGACTACAACTTAATATTCCTTCATTATAGTGAGTACAACTAAATACTACTTTATAAACACAGATATATCAATGCATTTAATTGACTAAAACTAAATAAAGCTTCAACAACACATATTTATGAATATATTTGAATTTATACAACTCAATAATGCTTTAGAAACACATACTTATCAATTCATTAAATTGACTACAACTAAAAACTGCTTCAGTAGCATAAAGTTAGCAATGCATTTACATGAAACTAATAAATATTGCTTTAACAACAAAAAAGTTCTTGAAGAAATTCAGCAACATAGAGTTATCAATGGACTTACATGACTGCAACTGCCTCAGCAACACAGAGTTGACAATGCATTCAAATGATTACAGCTAAATACTGGTCCAGCAACACACAGTTATGAGTGAAGTTAACGGCTTACAACTAAATACTGCTTCAGCAACACAGAGTTATCAATTTGTTTAAGTGATTACAACTAAATACTGCTTCAGCAACACAGAGTTATCAATTTGTTTAAGTGATTACAACTAAATACTGCTTCAGCAACACAGAGTTATCAATTTGTTTAAGTGATTACAACTAAATACTGCTTCAGCAACACAGAGTTACCAATGTGTTTAAGTGATTACAACTAAATACTGCTTCAGCAACACAGAGTTACCAATGTGTTTAAGTGATTAGAGATAAGTAGGATTTTAGTAACACAGTTATCAATTCTCTGAACAACACAGATTTATCAATGCATTAAAGTGACAACAACTAACTACAGCTTCAGTAACACAGAACAGTTTTTTTAAGCTACTAAAATGGTGGGGCTAAAATTGTTTTCTCAAGTAAGCTGCCTTACTTCCTTAATGTTGTATGTTAATCACATGGTACGTGTTTTGTTTCCCCAAATTATGAACATTTTTTTTTGCTCAAATTTTAATTGAGCTATTGCATTAAAATACCACTGTAGAAATTTTGAAGTTTGTCCAGATAGCCAAAACAATACCATTCAGGGAAAAATCTAAATTCCTAATATAATTCAGTTGTGGAGATACAGCAGGTAGAATAATTTTCAATAACAGGTATTTGCAAGAAAAATATATTTTATGCCTAGTAATATTAAGGTAAAATAAGTACTTATATAAACTCTTAAATTGAGTGTTAACAATTTCCTATACTGAAAATGTATTTCCAATAGATTCTCACCTCTACACACAAAATTGCTATAATCCTCACATGCCTGCCTAAAAGGCTTGCATGCCACTAGCTTTGAGCTAACTCTCAGATAAGATCATGTGTTCAACATGAACTGTGCTAGTGCATGATGACATCATCATGTAACAATAGTCCTCTACCAATATGAGGGGACACAACCTCCACATGCCGTAACTCTCCTTAAGCACTTGCACTGGAGATAACTTCATTCTTAGACAAGGTAAGATAAAAGGTGTGCTGGAAGTGAGGAGGTCAGATGGGAATGTGTGTGGAGGTGACTACTGGAATGAATATTCAGTTTTTGTAAACTCTCGCAGATCTCACATAACTACATAAAAAGATTACAACACATCTGTTACAGACAGTGCTGAGGAAAAGGAAAATGTTTTCTCAAATACAAGTGCTTAAGGGGAGTTACTGTACATGGAGGTTGTGTTGCCCTCCTTCTGGTGGAGGGCTATTGTTGTATGATGACAGCATTGTGCACCAACACATTTCACATTAAACATGAATTTGGGTGGGAGTTAGCTCAAAGGTTAATATTTTCTTAAATCAAAAATGTATTTCCAATAATACTTACCTCCCCTCACATACCTCATCTCTTCACATAGAATTGCAATATTCCTTGTGCATCTGCCTAAGAAGTTTGCATACCACTAGTATCAAAACATACTTACCTCCTTCTCACACTGCAGCTATTACTTGACTGCTAGGGTTTCTTCTTTTGCCCATCTAAACATTAGTCTGATTTTTTTCTCGCTTGCTCCAGTCTTTCACACCCCACTATATTGCCCCCAGTGATTTGGCAATATTTGTCTCATGACACTCTCCACCTTTGTGAATGCGTACTCTATCCTGGTACTGTATATAAGCACTTCATTCAGATAATGTTATCACTTTTTTGATTACGATTCAATCCTCAATCTCTAACACTGGCTCTTAATGGGGAGGAAGGACAGGATAGTGTAAGTGGTGGGTAAGTATTATTGGAAATACATTTTCGATTTAAGAAAATGTTAACTTCCAAAACTTACCTCTTCTCACACTACAGCTAGAATCCTATATCAATAAGGAGGAGGGGTTGGTGAGGGCATTATCCATACAGAAAGCATCTGCATAAATCATGGGTGTGTCAACAGAAGATTGACACCCTAGTGGAGGAACTGCACTAAATCCAGAATAGGTATGATCTTCACCCAGAACTGAAACATTACATGATTTATCATCACTATTGGCTATGCCTCAACCAGATAGCCGAGGTTCCACTGACCGGGGATTGGAATTATAAGGCCATGATTTACAAGCAATATATATATATATACTTATGAGTGGATCCCAACCTGTAGCCACAGAGTGATGCATTCCAAACCACTGGAATCATGACAAGAAGGTAAGCAGCATCGAAGTGGACAAACCTTCTCCTCAACCTCAAGAAGTCTGAAAGACAATACTTCTGGCTTAGAATGACAGGATTTTGTATGCCATACCCAATGTGAGGAAACAGAGCTCATCCGGTCTGGAATTATGAGCTCCCATCTTCACTCCCTAACCAAGCAGCAAAGTAAATTCTTCGTCTCTGGAATTATGGGGAGGTTGTGGAACAAACTGTGCTCAACCAAGGATCTGAGATGGGACCAGTCAGCATTCAGAATTATGAGGAGACAATGGACCCTCTTCTGTGAACAATGTACTAAATCAATATTGATCATAATGGTGTGGTAAGGACTCCCTAGCTCCACTAGTAGAATCTGAGGGGTAATGCACACTGGGGAGTCCTGAGGAACAGTGCTCTGGAAACAGTGCAATAGGTGAGCCAAGTTCCCTAAATTTTTAAAAGCAAACTGATCCCAATTTATTCAATCAAATGATCGGCAGGGATGGGCAGGATCCCCTTATGATTTACTCACGATAATCTACGAGTTGCAGTCCTGAAAGGTAAACAAGAGACAAGAGTAGCAATAAAAATACTCATCCCTTTGTATAATCTAGCGGATGTTGTTAAAATAATTACAGGGGTTAGTCAAAAACCCTCAGATGAAGATATTGCCAGATCTTGTAAATAATGCGAAATAAAAGTATTGGGGAGGTCCACATACCAGCCCGCATAATGTTCTTCAACAGGCAATTCAACTGGGCTGCTAAGGACAGAAATGTGACGAATCAGATTAGACGTAATTCATAGAAGTCTCCTCACCTTCAGAGAGAGCCCAGAATAAATGAAATGTATTAATTTCATAGTCATCTCATCAATGTAACCAGGGATAAATCCTGGGAAATTGAATGACCCCAATGAATAAAAAGTCATTGTCTAGCATCTCTAAGGGCATTAGTGCGGGCAACAAAACCTTCAAGACCCTCACTGGACATAATAATTTATTGAAATCTGATTGGTCATAGGAGTGAGAAATAGTGATCAGATGAATTGGAGAAAAGGATTTATCCCCTTCCCTGGGTGCCAGTGTCTTAGGGAAGAAGAACTGGTCTGAGTACGTAAGTAGAATGATAAAGTATCCCGTGCACAATCAGTGCAAACCACTCTGATGACCAGCAACAATTGGGCCAAGACAATTGATCTGCTACCAAAGTCCTCACTCAAGGAACATGGCAAGCTAGTAGGGTGATATGATAGGAGAGGCCTCGAGAATGGAGATCCAAGGTTCAAAAACAAAATGCCCTGTTCTAACTGCCCCTTGACAGGAAATGCAAGACACCACTGTGGAATATTCAGAGTGAAGTCTGACAATTTTCCCCTTAATAAGCCCAAACAATGAGGCATCACCTTTTGAAAAGTAAGAAAGTCTAAAACATTGTGTGTGTGTAGGGAATATCTTCTGTTCATAGATCCTGGAATTTCTGGCCATTGAGATATAGACCCCTTCTCTGAAGCGAGGCATTCGTGAAAAGATGGATCTCTAGACGAGGTGGCAGCAGAAAAACCTATATCTTAGTATTGTCCCAATCTGGCAATCCCTCGAGATCAAAGAGAATGATCCTGAATAAGGAAGCTGGGGAATGTAGTGAATTGATGTTTATGATTCACTGGTCACATAAACACCACTCTTGTGTGTTCATCCCAAAGGCATGAGGGATTTGAGTGATACCTACATTTTCAAAGAAGAAAGAACAATTTGTGCAGGGGGAGAAGGAGAGAAGAGTAAGAGTTGGGCTTCCTGTTCAACACCATAGAGCCGGATGGGAGTAAGCTGAGATACATGATGAAAAAATGCCCAGACTGATAACATACTGTATTGGAGCTCAGCTCTGATAATGAAGCCTGCCTTGGTTGTTTCTAAAATTAGCATATGGGTGTGACATTCTAACAATTGATAAGATGATGCCAGCAGTAACCAGTCATCAATGGAATGGTGTGTGCACAGGGCTAGAGAATGGAGGTGATGAGAAAAAGCTCATAAGATTCGGTAGAACCCATTGGGTGCCTATGCTGGTCAGAAGGTAAAAACCCTGAACTGCAGTACCTGACCCTTGTACAAAAAAAAATGCAGATAGTGGCAGGATGCCAGCACTATGACAAGGTGCAGATAGGATCCAACTACATCAAACTTTGACATCCACAATCCTAGTAACAAAATGCCAACTCAGAGTGAGGAATGAGTCACTTGTGATCCTTGAAGAATCTAGGAATTGATATAGATGAGAAAGATCGATGAATGACACCAATCTCCTGTCTTCTTAGGCCGACAGGAATAAAATCCCAGAAGAACTGGCACAACTCTCTCTCTCTACCCTCAGACCAACTAAATTCTGATAGCCCTAGAAATACGTTCCAAAATCAGAGGATCTGCAGGAGATGGAAACCCTACATGTTGGGTGGATGGTGTTGGTAAAAATGTGAACTGAATGACTAATCCTGATTCAAGGACCTGTAATGCCAATTGTCCATGGCTAAGGTTTACCACATGTCCAGAAATTCTCAGAGCTGAGCCCCACAACCCTCTAAGGCATACAACAGTTACCGACACCACTGGTGGTTTTTAAACCGAGCAGCAGAACCCTTGGATATGGACAGAATCTATTCTGGGTATGAATGGACCAGAACTATGACCTCCTGTAGGAGCCAATGAAAAGTGAGATGCCAATGACAACAGAGATGAATGTAAAAGCTGGCAAGTGAACCAATGTGCATGCTAACAATGGTTCCAGTTCATTAAGAGTCTTCCTGAGAGTCTTCTAAGAAAGTTTAGTTTTACGAAAACAACATGTTGGACTATCTATTGTGCCCACTGCAGGGAATTGAAAATTCGATTCTATGAGTTGTAAGTTCATAGACTTTCTGCTGTCCCACCAGGAGACATTGATCTATTCTGGTTAACTACAAATTCCACTCTAGAACCTCTAATTTCTAGGAGCATATGTATTCTTTGAGTCAGAATATGCTCCCACCAGGTGGTGGTAGGCTAAGTCATATAGTTTCGACAACTTTGGCAGATAAGGTACAGCTGTGCCTTAACGTAACTGAGCAGAAAACCTCCCTACATGAACCACAATGTCAGTGGATGGAGGGAAAACTAAGTATTCACTCTCAGATCTTTCACCTATCAAGTAAGGTACAGGCTTAAAAGCAACTGGGGAAAAACCCAAAACATCACACACTCGATGGAAAAACTGATGAAAAAGAGCCTGAAGCAGCTTATCCCAAAGTGGTCTCCTGAGAATAAAACGGAATAAAAAAGGCACAGGAAAAAGCGAATCTAAATTCTCTCAGAATGTCCAGGTTCGCCCTCAATTGCAGCCTCAAACCCCAACAGAGGAACACTACTGAACCAAATATATGTCTCCATCTCACTACAAATAAGATAATTGATAGTCTCAACTGAGTGACTCTTCCCCATGATTGTTGAGCAATGCTAGATATCAGAGGTGGGATAGGAGAGATTTGCCTCTGTGCCAAAAATAATAATCCAGATATTCATGCCGTATATTGGTTTGCTAAATGAAAAAAAAAAATCTTATTTCTTTTTCATGAAAATCAATTAGGTAACATGAAGAACACTCAAAGTATCTCCTAACAACCATAGCACAGAGAAACCCATTAGTGAATGTTTTGTTGAGAAAAAGTGATAACATTATCTGAATGAGGTGCTAATATACAGTACCAGGATAGAAGGCTTTTCGACGAAGGTGGAGAGGGTCACAAGACAAATATTGCCAAAGGCAATTATGTGGGGTAGAAAAGACTGGAGCAAGCGAGATAAAAATCAGACCAATGCTTATATGGGCAAAGGAAGAAACCTTAGCATTCAAGTAATAGCTGTAATGCGAGAAGGAGGTAACTATGTTTGGAACTAGTAGTATGCAAACCTCTTAGGCAGATGCACGAGGTCTATAGCAATTCTGTGTGAAGATATGAGGTGTCATCTCAGAACATTAATTTGAGCAGTTTGTTTATGACTTAAGACTCACCTTCACAGTGATTGCTCACACAAATTTCATTTTGTTTGCAGTTACTGTCACTGTGGCAGAGTTCTAGAAGAAATAAATTGAAAACTTGGGTGTTTAGTTTGTATTGATATTAAATTAATTCTTGCAATCAGTTCTTCTATTGGTTAGCTTTTTTAATTCTAGCACAAAATTATAAGTATACATACAAAATAGCAAATAAAAATGGATTGCATACAAATCCAATAAAATTTAAACTGACACAATGTTAGACCAAAACTTGGGGATAAGCAGACATTAACACAGAGTAATAGTGGCCTACAATTATAGAATATGACTCCTTTGAAAACAATTATTCAACTAAAGTTACATGTTTTTGATAAGTAAAGAAGACATATGCTTTTTATCAACAAAGTATATCATGTCAGGTTAAAAGTTAACATTATATATATATATATATATATATAATTTCCTGAAATAAGATGTGTAACATTTTAAGTTTTTAGAAACTTCGACACTATAAACTATGTTTTTGTTAAAGTATTAAGTATCTTTCACACTTAAATTATTGTAAAATTCTTGTAAAACTGATACTTACCCACACAGTGGTTGTTAAAACATTTTTCACCTACAGCACAGTCATCATCTTTGCTACATTCCACTGATTATAAAAACATACAACATAATTAGTTACAGACTATTTTGAACTCTACCAGACAACTGTCATTACAAGAATTTAAACTACAAAATATATAAAGGAAGAAGTTCTCTTTTTAGTATTAGTTTTTATATGATGTAGTGAAAAATGGAGGGAAAAAGTTATAATAAGTCGAAGAATGACTTAAAAAACAACAAAAAAAAAACGGTTATTACTGATGTTTTGGCTTAGACCTTTTTCAAGGTAGAGTATACGTTAGAAAAGGTATAAACCAATTGCTAATATATAGTCTTATTCTGGTGTTTGAATCATTTTCCATCTTGTCAAAAATTCTCTTTTTAAATAAGAAGTTTTCAGAGTCATTACAGCACAACTTATAAATAATATTAAGTGATCAGAAATCAGATTTTTGTGACATAAGTATACAAGTTAACTACGTTTTGAAAACCTTTTTTGATTCTTCTTTCTTAAAGTGCATTACTTTGTTACAATAAAGTTATTTCTACTGAAACGTGTAATCAAGAATAATGAAGCTCTACTGAAAAACAAACAGTAAAATGTTTTCAATATATCTTAATAAACATATACACAAGTTCCTTAAAAAAGAGAATCTTCAAAGCAAGTGTTTAAAACAGAAATAATATATATTGCTTTAAATACAAAAAATAATGATATTTTATGATTTACTGAGTCTATCCTACAAGTAAACCTTTCTCTCTTATTCTTTTGAATAACATTACAGCTGAAGTCAAATATATTTTGCTCAATTAGGCTCTCTGTACTATTTTTAACAACATTAAAAATAATACATCAATTAACAAAAGTGATAAAAACATACCTAGACACTGTCCCCTAATACAGAAGTGATTGAAAGGGCAATCAGCAATGCTGGCACAGTTTGAAGGAACTGGAAAAGAGGGACAATTCGTAACTCAAGAAAATTACATACTTGATTTGAATTTTCATATTTCATCACATTGATATTTATAGGAATTCATAATTTCAATACTCTAGATTTCTTTATCTAATATTTAAAAGTTGCCAATTCTGTTTATATAATTATTTGTAAACTAAAATAAATAAAAATTATATTTTATATTTGCTAAAACGAATTAACTTGCAATTTTTGAAAAAAAGAAGTTAATATCCATATTTTGACTTCATGAAACCCAAAAACTGAGTACAACTAAAATGAAATTAGGCTTATTTTATGTAATATTCGAAAGAATTGCATGGATTGCAAGTATTTTGGCATGATTTTATGATGTGTTAAATAACCTTTAACAAAATACTTCATTCCTCAAATATTCATAAACAAACATATTGTAACATGGTCAGAGTATGTTTTATTACAATGCCTGTATGATAAAGTTGAAACAATAAACAATAAATAATGCTTTAGTAATTCTAATCACGTGAAATTAATAGTATTGCACCAGTTTAAATATATATATATATTTGTATATTATTAAATTGAAAAATATAGTTTGTATAAATTTAAAACCATAGAAAATAAATTTATCTTTACTCATAAAGAAAATCTTTCCAATCAAAAGTCAAGTTGGTTTATATATATATATTGTGGATATCCCATCTATCAGACAAAACCAAATGCAGAGTAAGTTGGGGTAGAGTATGTAGTTCATTTTAAGATCTTTTATGCTTTATTGAATACTTTTGTCATCTTTTTTAGAAAGGAGGTTGGGAGTAATCTATAGTAGAATTTTTAGGGTGGTTTTATTGTTATTCTTCTACTTTAGGAACTATTAGAAATTTTAAGGGTGGAGGTTGGGAAGAACTTTTAGTTGAAATATTTTTAATGTGGTCTTAATTTTTTCTACTTTTGATATTAGAAGACTTTTCAAGGGTAACTGCCTTCCCACTACTGGCTGCAGACAGTGAAAGGCAGTAGGAGTGGAGATGTTGTGGGTATAAGCACTCAATTCCGCATCCTTATTTGAATATCCATGACTGCTAACTAGTTTTTCATCTGTGGTTGAATTTTGTCTGATAGATGGGATATCCCCAATGCTTTTGGGTGCTATCACCACAAACAATTTCCATTATGACTAAGGTTATGACTGGAAGGAATGGAATTTTAAAATGAAAATAATTTTAAGGCTTAATTTCTATTAAATTCATTATTTTTATAGTGCTGATTTTAATCGCCTATTTAGAACTAATTTAATTAATATAATAATAGTTTTGAAGCTATTTTCTTTACTGTATATATAGTAAGAATGCATTAAAAGAACTGTATACTTATGAAAAGACAAAAAAAGAGTATGATAAAGCTAGCACATTTATATAAATAAATTAAAACTAACTTTGTTAATGGAAATTAATATAAAAAATTCAAAACATTTAAACTGACCTCTAACACATTTCTCTTGAGGGTCACCAGAAAAACCTGGTGGACAGATGCACTGATGATTATGGTTCTCAACTCTGCATAGGGCATTGGTGCCACAGACATTGATGCTTTCACAAGGGTCTAATGAATTTAATAAAACTCACAAATTAAATAAGCTTCCTTAATTTTCCATAGGTATAGATTTAAAGAGTACTTATACAAAAAATAATTAATATTAATCAAAACCACACTGTATGAAATTATTATGAATTTGTAATAGTTTATATGAAACATTTTAGTACACATTACACATTTATTGAAAATATATATATTTGGTTTATCTAAGTGAAATAAGAACACCAGTGACTTACCTTGACATTTTTTTTGCACACAAGATTCTTTTGAAGTACAGTCTGCATCAAAGTGGCAGCCAACTGTAATAAGAAATAGGTAAATCGTTAATTGTTTCTGATTATTAATAAAATAATTCAAAATAACAAATCTATTGGGCCAGTGATAGTGAACTTTTTGAAAACATTTCATATTTTTGTGATTCATCTCATTTGTCTTTCTAAAAGATACAATGTAAACACCATACTACTTAGGAAACTTAAAATTTAGAGTATTTAAATACTAAATTGCTCAAACAGAGACAAAAACTACTACAAGTTATAAAAAAGCACATTATTCATGTTATATACATAAAAAATGGTCTCGTGGTTGCTGGAAAAACAAACTAAATGATTTCAATTAATTCAAGTTTATGATGTTTTCCTCAGGAGAATGCAATAACTTTATTTCATTTTATTAAAAGTATAACTCCTATATACAGTACAAGTTTTAGCAAACAATACAAGCACAATAAATTCATAAAAAGTAGATGCTGAATCACAATTAAGTAAAAAGAAGTCCATTTACAATACGTCAATAATTAACTAAATAACTTTAAACCTTGATATATTCAGGGCTAATTTTTTGCATTTGTACATTAACATACAATGAAAAAGTGAAGTATAGTGTTTCATCTACAGATGTATATTTCTGGTCTATACAGGTTTACAAGCATTGATTTAAATATTCCTAAATCTACAAGTCTAATCTGTACATACCTAGGCATTTCCCAGCGACACAAATCTCCCCTTTGAAGCACCAGCTGTCCTTTTGACAACCCTGTACACAAATACCTTGAACACAGAATTCTCCAACTGCACAGTCTTGAATGGATTCACAAGTAGCTTATCATGCAAGAAAGAAATATTACCTCACAGATCTTGGGAACAAGTAAACAACGTCTTTAGGAGTAACAACAGTGTTACAAAATTGTAAGGCTAGTAAACTAAATATTAAAGGATGAGGTTTAAGAATTAGATCTTTATAAAATACATGAAATTTTACAACAATAAAATTTCCTTTAAAATAACAAGACACACAGCAATATATTGTACCAAAAATACATTTAAAAAACAAATGAAACTACATGAAATGTCCTCCCAAAATATTCATTAGAAAGTATAAATTAAAATAAAATAAGGTGGGAATTTATTTTCTTATAAAACTTATATCAATCAAGTAGCATAAGCATACTTACGTTTACAGAATTGGCTACTGCATTCAAAACCAGCAGGGCATTCCCTGTCATTTTCACATACACTTGGCACTACAGAAATACATGTTGACTTTATTATGAAAATATCATACCTACTACATCATTGATAACTAAAGTTTGAGCAGTAAATTAATCTACTGTAACAATCTTTTTTTTCAACAAAAACCCCTATTAAAAATGTAAAAAAAGCTACTGGTATAAGCAAACATTTTGTTATATACACTTTGATTATTCTTAGAGATGTTTATTTTATCTAACAGTTATTACACTTGACTGACATCTAACCTCTAACACAGCCTCGGATGGAATCTTCAGGGTCACCACTAAATAGCTCAGGACACTCACAAAGAGCCCGGTGATTCTCAACCTTGCAAACTGCATTAGGCCCACAGTTGTTAGAAAGTTGACAAGGGTCTAAAAGATGTGGATAACACAGTTAAACATCTAAAGAAATTCAGTCACATATGAGTACACATCAAATGGGAACCCCTCTACTAATATGCATTGTATTAATACTTTAAGAGAAAATTCCTACACCAGTCTGAAAGAATTTAGTTGTCTCTCTGATGGGGAAAAGTTTCTCCTTTTTTTACAATTCCATTATACTTATGTTGTAGGTTTACATTTTGCTATACCAAAAGTGTATTTCCGATAATACTTACCACTTCTCACACTTTAGCTTTATCCCACCGAAAGTTTCTCTTCTCTGCCCATCTAAGCATTGGTATGAATCATTCCTCACTTGCTCCAGTCTTTATACCCACTATATTGCCCCTAGCAAATTAAATCTTGTGATTCTCTCTATCTATGTCAATGTGCTCTATATACCAGATCTGTATATAAGCTCCCTGTTATCACTTCTTATTCACTTTTTTCAAGACTGGAGATAAGTATTATCAGAAATACATTTTTGGTACAGGAAAATGTAAGCTTCCTAAACACAATTACATTCTCTCACACTTTAGCTAGAATTCCACACTGATAAAGTGGAGGGGCTAGTGAGGGAAAGATCCACACAGAAAGCATCTGTGTAGAGAACGTGTGTAAATTATAGCACATTAATGGGGTCTGCACTACTTCTGAAACAGGTATGCTCTTCTCCCTGGATAGTGTGAAATTTAAAACGTGGGTGGAAAAGACCAACTGGCCACTGTGTTAAAACTGTAACATTACGAGAAGAAACATTCAAGGAGGGACATCTATTCCAAAACTGGTTCCTCCTCCAATACCAGATGCATCTGATCCAGAAATATCGTTGTCCAGGCTCCAACCAGGCAGACAAGGTCCCACATCTGTGGACACAAAGTAAGATCTAAGATGTAGTGGCTAGCGCATGGGGATTGCAGTGTGATATAATTCTATTATAGTAATATGATATTAAGGGAACCCAACCTGAAAGTTACAGAATGTTGCATGCAAGCCACCAGAATTATGAAGAGATAGCAAGCAACACCCAAGTGGACAAGCCTTCCTCTCAACCTGAAGAATCACAGAATGCAACAAACAAAACTTGGAATTATGGGGACATTCACACCTCACTCGATCTGGAATAAACAGAGATCATCCAGCCTGGGATTAGAAACCTAAATCCTAACTCCCCAACCTAAGAGGCAAGGCAACACCCTTGCTCCCAGAATTATGAGGAAGATGTGGAACAAACGAAGTTAAACCAATGGCTGAAGAACTTGATGCTCTGCATGTGGAATTATGAGGAGTTGAGAACCCTCTTCCATGATCATGGAAGGTAATAAACGACCAAAAAGAAGAGCCACACTCAACATAACCAGATAGCAGAGAGTCATCTCTGATACAGAATTACGAAGAGACTACTGTGTAGGCTGGTCCTGTTCACATCTGGGAAAATCGTCCATGGTAATGGGTGGGAGGGTATTGAGCTTTGCCCCATCTTGAGTGGAATAAAGTGTTCAAACATCACTCAGTAAAAATAGACCTCTGTCCTCCACTCCAGCAAATAGAAACTGGGAGTGGTAAGGTGGTCCAGTATTTTATATTATGCATGGTACTGAATAATTGTGTATGAACCAGAAAGTGCCAAGGTGGTCTTATGACACATCCCATCTCAACAGAGCTCGTTGCTACCAGGAATTTCATTTATTAGTTTATTGGAAAAAGCATACCTGACCAGGCAACACTCACCACTGGGTGGAATAGAATAACATTGAAGAAATAAAGTCACTCACATCTGTCACAAGTGAGCCGGGGTGTGTAAAGTAGCCACGGGGGGTGGGGGCTAGCCAAAACCCATCCGATGAGGAAACCTTTAAATCATGTAAATAGTGGGATATAAAGGTTTTTAGTTGTGGTCCACATACAGCCTGCACAATTTCCTCCACTTGGTGATGCAACTGAGCTGCCAGGAATATTGGGATATGTCAAACTTGATGAGAAGAGACCTGAAAAAATCTCCGCTCCTCCAATGAATGCACAGAGAAAGCCATACAAACCAATTATCGAATCAAACCTATCAAAGTGACAGGGGATAAGACACGTGACACAGCAGGATCCCAATGGATAAACAAATAGTGAGGTGAGCCCTGAAACACTTCAGTGCATACCACATAACTTCAGAGAGCCCAAACCGGGCAGAAAATATGACCTGAATCCTAGCAGTCATATAAATGTGAAATGGAGGGAAGATGAATGGGATAGAAAGCTTTATCTCCTTCTCTTGCTGCTGAAGTTTTGGGTAGAAAAGACCTGTCAGGATACAACAGAACACAAGTGGAAGGGTAAAGAGTCCTGTGAACATGAATCACAAACACATCCGATTGTTGATGCCCGCTAGTCAATAACAGAAGAAAGATGATATTGTGAACATGACTCCAAAGGTTCAAAAGGTGTATGAGATAAGGCATAGAGAACCACTGTGATATCCCAATTAGGATCCTTGAAAGGATGACAAGGACAGATAACTTGAAAAGATTTCAGAAGTAATGACAAAACCAGGGACTAAAACACTTTTCTTCTCTTAGAAAAACGAAAGGTAGTCGATAAAGCAGCCTTATACAGAGAAATAGACGAAGGAGCTAAACCTTTGCCAATTGACCATGTCAGGAATTGAGAGACATGCAGCACAGTTGGACCAGAAGGGTTAAACCCATGTCTGAGAGACCACTGACAATAAGTAAGCCATTTCTGTTGATAAACTTCCAAGGAAGAATGCCAAATTGACCGTGTTAATAATGATGCCACCAAAGGAATCAATCCCTGATGGAATGCAATGGACCACATAAAAGCCAGGTGTGAAGTTATAGAACGTTGACTGCCCATTGAAACATGTCCAACAGAGGTTGATGTAAGAGAAATGACCAGACAGCAAGGGGAAGATGTTAACACTCCTGAAGATACTAGAGGAGTGGAAACCAAGGCTGACCCAGCCAATGTGGTGCCATCAGAAGAACTCGACAGGAAGTGGATAGAATCAGTGCAAGAACCTTGAAAAACAGACAAATCGGAGGGAACACATAAAGATGAACATTGTGGCTGAGTGTGAGGTACAGGAGACCAGTAGGAGGGGAGCTTAGCATTCCAGTGTGTGACAAAAAGCATCGATCTGAGGTGTTCTGAGACGTGAGTAGATCCAATGAAAAACTTGAGGATGAAGCATCTATTCCGTGGGAAGAGCTCTATTTGTATGAGATAACTGGTTGGCCACTAAATTTATTATACTTGGAACATGACCTGCATGTGCCCTGAAGAGAAGATCCAATGTTTGAAAGGAAAGAGATCTGGAGTGAGTGCCCCCTTGCTTTGAAATGTACAAAATGACTATAGAATTGTCCGAGTGAAACATTACCATCTTCCCTTGCATCAATTTGAGGCCCTGAGTCATAGCTTGTGGAACTGCTAGAAGTTCTAATAGACTGATGTGAAGAGAAGTTTCCTCTTCTATCCAAAGGCCTTTGAATTCCATATTTTTCTATACAATCCCCCCAGCCCTGGAGAGAAGCATCTGTGAAGAGATGTATCTCTGGACATGGAGATGGTAACGGTACACTGACTGTTGTGTTGTCCTTGTCCAACCACCAGCCAAGATCTTGCAAACTGGAAGCCAACAGGACCACTGGACAATCCAGTGCATCTGTGCAAATGTTCCACTGGTCCTGCAATGACCACATGGTCCACATATGAGCCCAACATAAAGGAATGAATGATTCCAAGGATGCTCATCAATCACCCGTCTTTTTCGGTACTACAAACAGCTGGCAATAAAAATTCTTGAGAGAGGACTCGACATGTTCTATGGCCTCTATGTGCAGAAGATCCTGGATGGCTTGAACTTGATTGCTGGATGTAAAAAGAGTCCTATAGGAGTGGAAAGCCAACTGGTATGAGAGACAATGGAGAAGAAGATGTGAACTGAGAACTTGAATGACCCACTGATCTGTGGTGAAGGTCTCCCAAACTGACATGAACCCCCCAAGTTGAATACCCACTGGACCTGACCCTATAAGGTAGTTACCAACACCGTAGTCTGTGCTTCATTCTAGAGGAGGATACCTGCTGGTAAGGTAGGAATTGCCCTTGTGTTCCAATGGATTGTGGCACTGAAGCTGGAGGTCTGAAAACTCAAATGAGAGATGCAGGAAACCATCCTGTAGAAGATCTTTTGGACAGCTGAGAAGCTAGGAGATGGGCCACATCCACTCGAGATTCCATAGAATCATGAATACCAACAAAAATAGACTGTGAAAAAAGGAGCTTCTCTGAGATCTCTAAGGGCCAAAGCAGGAAGGAGAACTCCCTCCATCAAAGCATCTCTCTCCAAAAGATCCCAACTACAAACCAACCAAGATACCAAGGAGAGAGCAGAAGCTGATAACCTGACCAAAGTAGAAGTCAATAAATGATTAAGATCATCTGAAAATTGTGCAGGAGATCTGTGATAAGCCTCAGACAAAAGTAGCAAAGATAATAAAAAAAATGCACGACTGTTGTAAGTGACAGACAAACTCTGGAAAACTGAGATTGATTAAGGCGATCCATGGCATCATGTCTGGAGCTCCAAATAGGAAGAAGAGGATCTAACCTCTGAGAGTTAAAACAAAGCATGCTGATCCAATAAATGAAGAGAACAAGGCATTGGCATCATTGTCTCTCAAATGATCAGCAAATCTCCTTGCATGCACAGCAATGTCTGGCAAACATGGAAGGATCAGCTAATCAGATGAATGGTTTTCCACCAATAAAGAAGGAGAAGATTCGTCAGCTACAAACATTACAAACTTGCCGTACTAGTTGCAAAAAAGATGCAGGAGGTGGAATGTCTGTCTGAGATTTGTGATTAGCTGTCTGAGCAAAGGAAGGTGTTGAAAATATGGAGTCTTAATTCTCAGCAATCTGCCCTTGATTCCCTGCAAACCCAGCCTCAGAGCCAACAACATAAAAAACATCAGACTGCATGTAAGACTCTACCTCTCTATATATGAAGAACTGTATATACTTCATGGAAGAAACCCCCCACCCTGACACCTGGGTAACGCTTGACTAGAGGTGGTGGAGGAGGAGCATTAGGAGACTCTGTGTCTGAGACGTGAATATGTGTATTCATATTCGAAAAACATCTCCAAATATTTGTTTTTAAATGTAAAATGCAGAAAATAAACAATATATGCAAGACCTACTAGAACAGGTCTAAAAGAAAATATAGTAATAATGCTAATGAGAAACCTGCAGTAATCATGTAAGACCATCTTCATAATTTCTGTCATCCAGAAAAAGTGAATAAGAAGTAGTGACAGGGAACTTGTATACAGATCTTGTATGGAGGGAGCAATGACGTGGGTGGATAGTCACACGATTAAAATCACTAGGGGCAATATAGTGGGGTATAAAGACTGTAGCAAGCAAAGTATAATTCATACCAATGCTTAGCTGGGCAGAGAAGAGAAACTTTCTTCAGCATAAAGCTAAAGCGTGAGAGGTGATAAGTGTGTTTCGGAATACAGACTTACATAACAGTGAAGTTCCAGCTTTTACAGAAAACTTAAAGAAGGTATTATTATTTGATAAAATTAATTGTTTATTTAGTATTTATCTCCATTCACAGACATGTTTTTTACTTTTATTTAAAATAGTTGGTCATATAATTACATTTTTAACAGAATAGATTTCTAATGATTCATTAAATTATGTTCACTTCACAGACTTATATTCATGAAAGAAATGCAATGTTAACTTTATTTTTATTCTGTAATTCATCTAAAAAGTAAGGATAAACAAAAAATTTATTACATAAAACACAGAAAGTCAAGTTTATTATAATTTCAGTTAACATGTACCTACTTTATTCAAGGTAACAATTAAACTGATCTCATAATAAAGAATTAAAGTTCTAAATAATACTTACTTTTACATACTGGAGTATTCAGACCATTGGAAACACAAGCAGCTGATGGTGGACAATCAATGTTTCCACTAGGACATTCATTAGGTCCTCGGCCTGTTAAATTAGTAATACTTTATTCAAGTTCTAATATGTAAAACAAGATTAAATCAAGAATTATGGATAGAAATTATACGACTAGACAAGATTAATTTTTTTCCTATAAAACAATGACACAATTAATTTATATTTCATGCACTTTAATATTTTGTGATGGTAGAATTTTAGAGCAAAAACAATCCTTGTCAAAGCTAGCTCATGCTGTGTTTTGTTTATATGCTTGTCTGATATTGCAGAACTTGCAACTAGAAAAATTCTTGCTAGAAACTGTTTGATAACGGGTTTCATTTATATGCTGTTTGGTAATGCAGAACTTACATCAAAAGCAATAACTGCTAGAAACAGCCAATAATAGGTTTTGTTTATATGTAATTTGACACAAAATTATAAATGTTTTGGTAAGTAAATATCATGCAATTTGAAGAACTAGTTAACCAGAATGAACAATATTTTTGTTGATCTTCAGAGGTCTTTATATACATTTTATGTGGTAATAAAGTTATTATTATTATCTTTTAAAACACTAAGAACTCCAACACATTTAGAGTGGTAATATTTACTTACTTACTTATACTCTGGGTGGTAATTTGGTTATGTCCTTTCAACCTCAACGTGTTTGAGGGCAACCAGGGGTGTTCAGAAGCTTTTTTCCACTTCTCGTGGTAATATTTATTAATAGTGTGTTTGTAAATAGTTATTTCTTTACTTTAACTTGATTAATAGTGAGGTAGTGTTTTTTGCAATACTGATGATTGTTTGTCTGGTTCATCAATCCTAATATTAACAACATAAATTATAAGCATTATCCAAATCAATTTTCACACTTCTATTTGCTTATCAGAAGCTAGCTGATATTTTGAAGATATCAGAAACCATAGTTGAAGCTAAGAATCACTCATTAATATTGAGAATGAGCTACATATTTTAATATTGAAGTTGCAAATAATAATTTAGTGAATGATCTTTTTTGCTTTTTGTTTTCTTTCTATAAATTACTTTAAAAGACATTTTGCTTCTTTTACAATAAACATATATTTATGTAAAATGAAGATAAAATATACCTAGGTTTCACTGAGTGATTACTTCAGAAACAATATTATAAAACTCAAGCTAACAAAATAGTGTTAGCAAAACAGTATCAATGAAGGGCTTGATATAACTTACACCCAGGATGGTTATATGGGTTTCCTATACTCTTGTCTGGTGGACACTGACATTCATAACCTCCAAAACGGTTTTCACAGATTGCTGTTGGGTGACATGGGCGTTTGATACAGTGGTCAATCATTTGGCAGCCAGACAATGGGTCACCTTCATAACCATTACGACATCGGCAAATTGCTGCATGACTCTGAGAGATACAATAAGCATTTTCTCCACAGAGTGGGTGAAGACTGCAAGGATCTATAAAATATGTAACATATTAATAGTCCAAGACTTTTCAACATACATCTAAAAGTATCAAACGTACTTCTCGAGCAAAATAGAAGATAGAGCTTTCTTTATAAGGTTTTGTAATGTTGAAAAGCAAAAAACAAGAGGATTTGTAGACTTAGAATATTAGCTCGATTCCAAAAGTTAGATAATCACCAAAATTTCTCAGAGTTAAAGTAAACCATTTATATGGAATTTTAAATATTTCTTAACATTTTTAAGGAAATACATGTATGCTGGTTAAAAGTTGTATTTGACATTTCTTATTAACATTTAAAATATTAAATGATTAAAAGCTTGAATTAGGTAAAAAGTGTTATGGTGAGCCAATACTCTTTCTTTCATGTAAAGCTTTTGAAATTTCTTCTTACCAACACATGAGCTGTTTTGACAAACTTTATCTTGTTTACAATGTTCATGTGTGATACAGTCAGCTGTAGAGGAAAAGGACACATAAACCTTTTGACATATTTCCATATGTAACATGTATTGTACAACTGTCAAATGATTTCACATCTTAACCAACAGTAACACATATAATTTAGTTTCAATTGTCAACAATTTTCCATGTTAATGATAATTCAACAAAATCTAATAATTACAAATATTTAAACCTATAAGAATGTTGTATAGTAAGCTTTATAGTGACTATTTAAACTTCAATGATTAATCTTTCATACGTACTATAGTAATTCAAATGCACTAGGTTTCAATTATACTGATCAATACTACAGAATTGTTTCACTAAAGCAAAATCAGTTTAAATAAATTTATCTATAACTGTTTCATTTATTCAGTATTATTCATGGTTATGTGATGAAAGTGAAAAACAAACATTTGATAACACTTTTTTAAACAAGCAATTATATAGTGAAAAGATAAAACTAAAATTTGTTTAGTAAAAAATTAAATTACCCTTAAACATACAGCTCTGAAAGTTACTACTATATTGTTTTTTGATAGTTTGTCAGTTTGTGGCTGTTTCTGGATCTAATAATGGTTAACGTAATTAGGTATTTCTTTATATTGTTGACATATACAGAAACTTGACTCTACCTTTCTGACAGCCAATGATATCATCTAGTGGGTTCCCAACAAAGTTGGGTGGACACTTGCAGATAGCAGAACGGTCCTGAGTTACACAAACAGCATTGCGTCCACAAAGTTCTGTGGCACAAGGATCTAGAAAGGGTAAAATTAAAATGTTTACAATGTTGTATTGAACCAGAGAATATATATATATTCTATACACATTCTTATATCTTTCATTTAGTTAAAGATAATCCTTGCTTATGTTTTCTTTCAAATAAAATAAAATATTGCCCAGACTGGTCCTTTAATTGCAATCCACTCCTGCCTACAAAACAAATGTTTTGCATGTAATTAACAGAACAATAAAGTTTATGTTTTCTTTCCAGATGGAAGTAAAAAATTTAAATACAAACAAGCACTGGGTGAACTAGTGGAATATTAAAAAAAATCAAACAATAAGATATTAAGACAGATAAAATTAACTTTTGTCTTCTTTATAAAACAAATATTTTGCACGTAATTAACAAAACAATGAAGCTGAAAATATTGTTGATAAAATACTAAATCTTACTTATCTATTACTCATTTTATAAAGTCAAAAATAAAGATGAGTAATAACTAGTTGAAAGCATATCAGAAGTCAAACTTATATTTATTAAGCTTACTTAAAGATTTGCATAGGTAATTTAAGGTACATAAACATATTTACAATACTAACTTATATGGTGTATGATGGTAAAAAAATATTTTGTTTAAACAATCTATGTCAAATCTAAAAAAGATAAGGAAAAAATTTACATTAAAAAACTGTTATGATTAAAAATAAAAACAATGAGTTTAGATAATAACAATGAACCTATAAGCATGATGGGACTAATATGCAGAAAATATTCAAATGACTGAATTCTTTCAATGAGCTATTTAGTTTCTACCTCTAATATAAGAATTTCAACTACAGATCAAATTAGAAGAAATAATATGAAAAGGGAGATTTACACTGAAATTAAGTAGAGTAAATTTAGTAAGAAACAATGAAGAAAGAAATTTTAAAAAGCTTTTCTCTTCAGTTACTAACAGGACCTAATAAGGACATACTGCAACCTTTTTGTCAATTTTCTGTAATTAATAATAATGATGACACAAGAAAACGAGCATCTAATAACTTAATTTAGTTAATTGAATTTTCACAGAAAATATGTGAGAAGTTTAAGAGCAATATTTTTTGAATTTATCATATTTATGATAGGCTGAAAATACCTTAATGACTGGACAGTTTCAGAACTTTATTGATAAAGAACAAAATATAGTATTATACCATTTGAAAAACAGTAGCTATAACATATATAAACATGAACTAACAAAAGCTTTAGATTCCTTGGCCATTTTTAAAAGCAAAAAATAGGCTATTATACATCTTAGTAACGAAAAACATATAGAATTAAGAAGGTAGGTAAATCACATTAAAGAAAATGATAAAATATAGTATTTTTGACAGGTTTTTAATGTGATAAGTTAATGATATTTTGAAAATAATATTTAATCTCTATTGTTTACGACCATCAGTATATCTACACATTCAGGTCATTGTACTAAAGAAATGGTTTTAGACTTCCTTCTATAATGTTAAATACAAAAAAGAAAGAATCTCAATATTATTTTGTGCTGAGAAAATTAACAGAAATAAATCCTAAAAACATCAAGTTGGTAGTGCATACAAATTGAGACTACTATGATTTGTTTTGTATATATGTAAATACAATTTTGTACATGATGTATTAGTTTTAACTTCCCTTAAGAATCTACACATTTACTACAATTAGTAATCATAATAAAAAATTAACATAGACTTAAATAATAATATAAACATTGATAATCGTTATAATACCTTAAACTAAAGCAAAGACAGAATACAAGAGAGGCTCACCTTGACATTCATCATAGCCTTTGCTATTTGTGCGACAAACCTCAGTGAACTCACAATCAGCATTGGAGCTACATCTATCAACTGTGAATGAATAAATAGTTATATATATATATTATTTTGTGATTATAAAATAAATACATTTTATTTGAATAAGAAATAGTTATATGTCATATCATTAATCAATACAAACTTATATCTTTCATATTTTATTTTCATCTACACATTTTAGCTACTGAGAATATCTGGAATGATATTTGATATTTTACTTATCCAAAACTTTCAACTTTCAATCACTTACAGCATTTAAATATATTGCATAAACTTATAATACTTTTAAAATTAACTTACAGATTTTATTATAAGTATATCTCAAAATCAAAAAAACATAAATACATAAGAGAAAATATAATAAATTCTGTACCGTTGGTGCACTTTTCATCAACACAAGCTTGACCTTCAGGACATTCACTGTTACCTTGGCATATAGCTGATGGAATTAATTATATTAATGTAAATCAGCAGCTAGAAATCACTTGGTCACTATATTTATTGACATTTATATTGTTTAATAAACTGAACTGTGTGTTTTTACAAATCAAGATGAAACATTCACAGAAGTTTTAAATGAAATAATAAATTCTAAAGTAAATATGAATTTAGATAAAGAATTAACTTGACTAAAACATATTAACACCAGGTTTTTCTTGTTTTTGTTTAGTTAACATTTCTAACTTCTAACATTTGAATTAAATCTTCATTATATTAAAATGCCAATAATAATTCTGTTGATTCTTGTGCATGTTTCTTTTTACGTATAGCTTTTAGTATTTCAATTTTTATATAGTTAATTGATATAATATATTTTGGTTAGTTTAGAATTTTAATGCTAATTACATATTGCATCATCATTCTATGCTACTATTTAAACTTACTGTCATATTAGGACTATTAATATTAACTATCAATCAGAGCAAACTACCTAATCCTAACAAAACAAAATCAAACTGGTAATGAACAACGCTAATTATTTTACAAAATTAAGTTATAATGAAATGCTAAATGCATACTGCTTGAATCCTATTTTGATTAGAAAATGTAAAATAGTATGATATTACAATATCAGTAGTTATATTTGATATTATCAGGCTCTATAGGCTAAAAATATGTATATAGCCTATGTTTTATTCACCAGAAATTGTCTTTAACAAATTTGTCGTATATTTTACATAATTACTCATTCAATTTTAACATATTTTGTTTACACTTATAATTCTATTCTATATGCTGAAGAAAATAAATGTTATGTACAAAGCAGAAAACATACTTTCTAACAAATTTCTGCCTGATAATTTAATCCTTATTAGTTTCTATATTTATTTTAAGATATTTACAAGATACTATTTTTTCTACAAATTATTAAATACTTCAGTTATCTGAAATATTTACTTACTTATACATTTTCCTTCAGCACAACGCTCATTAGGTCCACAGTCTCGATTGGAGTTACATGTCACTGTAGTAAGTTAGCATAAAGAAAGAAAAGCTGAGACATAAAATTTTTTTGAAACAATAAATGTATTCAATGTATTATTTTATTACAAGTTACAGCTTTTACAGTAAGGAAGATTTTTCTTTTAGAACAGGCACAACATTTCAATCACAGGTGCAATCATTCTCAAGTACACAAGTACCTAAAACCTTTTTTACCATTAAAACTTGTGTACTTGAGAATGATCACACCAGTGACCAAAGTCATATTCGTTCTAGAAATAAATCTTCTAATATATATAAAAGCCAGTTGTGTAGTTCATCTGTGTTTCTTAGCAACAATACTATGACTTAATATTGTTGTCTTTAATATGTATATAATGCTTCGAATGTTCACGATGGATGGCTTGAATTCCACGTATTTAGATCAATTTATATTTTAGTTTATGCATATACTTAACTAGACATAGACATTTCGAATTATTAGTTTTTGTTGCTGCATCTTCTTTCAGCATTTAAACCATAATTTTTAGGTTATATGACATTATTACAAAATATGTTCTGACGTGAAATATTGATGGATTTATGAAATCTGCTTAACACAAAGCCAGTTGAGTAAGACCACCTCATGAAAAGATAAATCAGGTATACTTCAACAATTTCTGCTGGAACATTATGGGTGATAAGATTATGTTAGTGAGGCCTTGGACTCCAACTGCCTAGAGTTGTTTATTACTACCCCAGATAACTGTTCCAATATATATATATATATAACAGGCAGTGTCTATTTTTTGGTAATACATTAAAAACTTGTTAAAAATTTAAAATCTCAAGTTATAAAGAATGAAATCATTAAAATGTTTGGTGTGCCAATAAAGTAATGAACCATTAATGTCATACCTATAAAAAGTAATCAGAGGATGACAATTTTTTTGACAAACAAATTTCAAGGTAAGAAAAAAAGATTTTCATATTTATTGTAATTTAGGGCTTTTTCTAAATTTTATTTATTGTAGTGCAACAATGTCATGTTAACAAAACATATCCAATTACAGGATACCATAATGCAAAGACTATTATTTGTAAGGATAGAAGATTTACTCTTTTTTTTATAATGATGATGATGTGCAATCCAAATTGGTCTGAAATTCAAGAAAACCTATTTTCTGGACAGGAACCATCTGATAGACCTGATTAAGTTGCAAAACTGTTAAAAATTATGCTTGCTGCATTGTAGGATGTTTTATAAAATCAGTAGCTTATGTACATAAAATAAAATTTCAGAAGAGAGGAATACCACATGCACACATTTTGATTTTGAGAGAAGAAGATAAAATACGAGATGCAGAAATGATAGATAAAATAGTATATGCAGAAATAACAGACCCAGAAGCTGAAGTACGTTTGTTTGAAATAATGACAAGATGTATGATACATGGACTGTGTGGATGTTTGAATTCAAATGTACAAAGACGTTTCCAAAAGATTTTAGAAATGAGACAGTAGCAAATGTAGATGGCTATCCATTGTATAAAAGAAGGTAAAAATAAAATAAAAGAAGATAAAATTATACTGTTGATAATAGATATAGAGTTCCGTATAATAAATATTTGAGTCTTAAGTACAGTGTGCACATAAATAGTGAAGATTTCATATCCATAAAATCAGTGAAGTATATTTTTTCAAGCATGTGTACTCAGGCTCCAACTGCACAAGTGTTGTGATTAGTCAGAATCAAGCAGTAATTCACGGTGAAGTTGCAAATTATTTGGATGTGAGATATGTTAGTGCACATGAAGAAATGTGGATACTTTTAAAAACTTGAGGTGCAACAAGTTTTGATGATATTTATACAGTGAATGGAATAGTTTATCCTACATTTAAAGAAGTAGCATGCCCCAAAAATATTTTAACTACAGTTAAACATTTGTTTTTATTTGTGTGTTTAAAAAATCAACGAATGTATTATTGGTATGTAAGAGATTTTGTGTAGATATGACTGAAGATTATCAAAATTTTTTTTTAAAACGGTGACAAAAAGAAAGGTTTTACAGGATGTTGAAAGTACCTTGATTACACATGAACTGAAAATTGTGAATACTTTGGAAAATGAAGATGTTGAAAAATGTTGCTATTTTTTGGATGGACAAGGAGAATCAGGAAAAATGTGTTTATACAACACATTAATGTGCTATGTAAGATGGGAAGAACAAGTTGTTTTACCATTTTCTACTAATGGAATAGCTGCAGATTTGTTAAAAGGAGGAAGGACATTGCATAGCAGTTTGAAGCTTCCAGTATCAGTACTAGAAACATCTACATCATACATGAAAGTACCATCAGAAAAAGCCCAAAATGTAGAGGTGCAGTTTTGATAACAAATCATGCTTTGAGATGTATTGATCTTCTGTTGAAAGAAATAATGCAGAACAATGGGCCTTTTTGAAGAAAAGCAATATTATTAGGCAGTCATTTTCAATGAACCCTTCCAGTTGTACTGAGATCATCAAAAACAGAAATTTATTGCAGCCTGCATTAAAAGTTCATTTATATGGAGAAGTTTTGAGTTACTGAAACTATCAATAAATATGAGAAAAGAAGGACGATGGAGGGGTTATAAAAATTGGAGATGGAAAATTACAAATGCATATGGATTAACCAGTGATGTTGTGGAAATTCCTGAAAATATGATTGCAAAAGAATGTATTATTACAGAAATTTACACAAGTTCAATTGATATCAGAAATGAACAAGCATTACAAAAGGAAATCATAATTACTACAAAGAGCAAGGATGTGTTGATGCTGAACAATGAAGTTTGAAGCTTATTCCAGGTAATGTGAAGTTGTATAAAAGTGCAGGTTCGATAATTAATGATGAACTTGAAAACTTGATGAACTTCTTGTTGAAGTTTTGATTGCACAGACACCTTCTAGAATGTCATCACACAAATTAAAGTTGAAAGTTGGCTCGTTACTTATGTTGATAAGAAAATTAAACCCAAAACGTGTGTAATAGAACAAGGCTAATTGTGAAAGGGTTATTTGACGATTTTTACAGATGCTGAGATTTTAACTGGAAGGAACAAAGGTAACGAATTTTTATTCCATGAACTGATCTGGCCCCAAGTGAAACAAAGTTGCCTTTTATGTTGAAAAGCTGACAGTTTCCACTAATTGCAGCTTTTGTTATAATGGTGAATAAACCATAAGGACAAACTCTTGACCATTTAGGAGTATTTTTGCCAGAAGCAGTGTTTGCTCACAGACAGCTGTATGTAGCATTGACAACAAGAAGATTAGATAATAATTTGAAGGTATTTGTTGTTGAGAATAATAACCAAGGAAATTTATTACAAGACAAAAAAGTATTCACGAGAAATGTCACATATAATGAAGTATTTGATTGATCAGTGAGAATCAAAATCAGCTAAATCAAGCACCAGTTTATTAATAAATGTATTTGGATGTATGTATTTTGGCCTGTGTAGCTAAATGACGTATGACTAAATGTCCTCTGTGTCCGAATGTCCTATGTGGCTAAATGAAAAAAAATTTTTTTTTTCAGTTTTAATATAGCAAACTATCTAATTTTAATTTTGGAGACAAACTGTCAACATCAAGAAAAAGAGGACAAAAACCGTTATTATTGCAAGAAGATAGTTCAGCTGATCAAAGATTGTCACAAGAAAAAAAGGAAGAGCTTGAGAAGATGACAAGTAAGTTTTGTTATATATACAGAAGTCTGGACTCAAACGGAAAATAGACATTATATTCTTAAAGTTAAACAAACACATTTCTAATGTCAGTTGTACATATTTCAAGAAAGAAAATATCCTGATGGCACAGTATACCAAGAAAGTATATGCATATGGCTGTTAATGGCATGCAATTTGAACAATAAATAGATTAAAAATAAATTAAAAACATTTTTCCCTATGGGTACAGACTTCTGGGACACCATGTTTATTACATTATCTTTTATTGGCAGTCTTAGTAAAGGTGATACGGATGGATGGACTTGGTGAAAAAAATGGAGGATTGGATAGGAATGGATGAAAGATATTTTATTTTCAGTTAAAATAATTAATATATGTTTATCTTTAATTTCAACTGAACACTGAAAAAAAGCAGAGCTACAATGTGAAAAATAGAAGCTACAACATCAACAACAGAATGAAGCATTAAAAAGTATACAAGCACTCAATTAACATACATTCAAATCCTCAATGAATGTTTGCTTTATCTGAAAAAGCCTTTCTTCTGAAATGACTTTTTTGTTTTATTAAATTTTATCTCTCATAATTCTAAATACAGTGGTTAGAATTATCTTTATACAGTTCTTTATGCTTTGAATAATGAAAATGATAAGTCTTAAAAAAATGCATTTCTGTTTTGTGAAAATGTTTCATATTTTGTTACATGTGAAAAGTTACAACATGAATAGAAAAAAATTACCGATAAATATCTTGAAATAACAAAATATGCTGAAAAACTTTTCCAATTTCTTTGAAAATGCTTTTGAACATTAGAGATGACATATAAAGATCCTTGAATTAGTCATAATGTGGAGAATAAAATGAAAAGTATAAAAAATAACTTAAATAAATGTTATATGATTTTCATAAATTTATATGAGTCGTGAACTTAGATGTGACGCTACTCTTTTTCCACTGATTAAAATCTAAAAGATATACACACACACACATATATATATAAAAGCCAATTGTTAATTTGTGTTTTTGTGTAATCCTCATATTTGAGTCATTTTTAATTTAAGTTGCATCATTCTTGTTGATTTTTTGAAAGTGTATTTGATAATTGTTTTTATTTTCTCAATGTGTGATTGATTTTCTTTTATGATGAAAGGAAAGTTTGGTGAGCAAAGCTGGCTTAAGGAAGGGCAGGGGACTCTGTTTTGTTTTCACAAAACTCCAACCCATCATTTTTTTAAAAGGGTCGAGCAAATCTAGTTTTTTTATATTATTTGGATTTCATGAACTTAATGGTACAAATTATAGTTTATAGATAATAATAATATAGTTTTTATAAAATATGTAAATAACTTTGTGAGGTAAGATATTTCATTAATATTACTTATATGACATTTATGTCTCACACACAGATATATAACTGAATAAGTGATACAGAAGACTATCTAAAAACAAGATTACCTCTGCATACTCCACCATTATAACAGAACTCCCCACTAGGGCAGTCTTGATCTTCAATACATTGTATAATTTCTATAAGAAAAATTTGAAAATCAGAACAGATATAAATTAGCACGGTGTTTGTTTTCAGGTGGTAAATATTCTAAACAGTATATCATTCATCAACTAATGTTATTAACAAAGTAAATATTTCTACTGATGTTTATTTCAGATTCAAATATCAGAGGTAAAAATTATAATTTTAGAAATAATTAATAAAACCTTTCTTTCATAATTCTCAAAATTCTTTCATTGCTTTATACCAATAGAGTAAGAAAAGAATTAAATAATGAATAAATTCTAGCTGAGTAGGAAAACCATTAAAATACCTAGTTCTTACTAAGAGAGTAGGAAAAATGCACAACAATCAAATTACTCAGTTCATGTTAATAGGGAAGGAAAGTAAATAAGTTACCATTTCTTTCTAACAGAAGGAAAAACATTAAATTACCCAGTTCTTACTAATACAGTAGGAAAACAAATTACCTCTGCAGCCAACAACAGGATCTCCATAATATCCATTTTGACATCTACAAATGCTGCTGTGGTCTTGTGCAATACAAATGGTATTTTCACCACAGACTGTTTGACCAAGACAGGCATCTGTTAAATTTTAAAAAGTTACATCAGAATACAAATGCTCACTACTTGCAGTCATAATTCTATTAAGTATAAACAGGAAAAAATAATTTTTGCAAATCTGTAAGATTTTACCAACCATGTCTCCCAAATGTTTTTAATGATTTCCTATTCAACACAATTTTTCCAAGTATAATAATCTATAAATCAGGCAAAAGTAACTCACCAACACACCGATGTCGTAGACAAACTTCATCATTATGACACTCTTGGCTCTTAATGCATTCCACTAACAAAACAAACACAAAAGTATTTAATGCTACACTGTACATACACACACATAAACACATGTATGTATATATCCTCACATAATGGTCTGATATTTGTTAAAAATAACAATACATATATGAAAGCTAAATGTTTAACTGTAAGAGAAAATGATTAACAAAAATAGTCACATAAACAGTGAAAAAAATGGGTGCAAATATTATGGAACTGTTCTGCCACTCCGAGTGAATGTCATACAACCAATCAGTTGAAGTGCTATATCAGCATCGTGCATACAAAAGTACAGTCATACTTTTTCCAGCAGTAGTTTGGTCAAAGCATTCCTGTCTCCCAGGGCAGAAAATCCACATAACAAATGTGTATAAATCAAAGCTTTGGCCAGTTAAGGTTATTCCAAGTAACAAAATGATGCAAAATTAATTTTTTTAGTAGGAGTTGTATAAAAACTCTGAAGGGTGTACTTGAAACTAGTCCTGTTAATAATAGACAAAGTTGGTATAGAGATGCCCAAGTTCTTCAAAAGTGATATTAAGTATATCAGGGTATGCTCTTTAAATGATACAGAACAATACAGTAGAGATCCTACTAATGAGCTAGCTGAAATTAAACGTGTGAATTTTACCTTGAATAGTAAAATATACATTAGCATAGAGTGGCCTCTTTACAAGTGTAGCTGCTTAAAAGTCGTTGCTTAGGAGTGATAACCAAACCAAACAGCAGAAATTGGAATCAGACTTCAAACAATGGGATAAGCAAAACTGCAGGATGGTATCATTATTAATATAAATATAGCAAAAATGAAGCATGCTGTGAAGGCTGCATTTTAGCCAATGGTGTTGGAAATCTACACAAACTTGATGGCACCCTGATTGCTCATCTATCATGTTAATCCTTCAGGAATAAAGCTTTTGGGCAGGGATTCATCTTTAAGCAAAACATTGATCCCCAGCATGAAGTAAATGTGGCAAAATGATGTCTGGAAGGAAAGAGAGCTAGACTAGATCATTTTAAACCATGGCTTGGCCACCAAAAAATTCCAATATGAATATTTTTAAGGCCATATGGACTCATATGAAATCTGAGAAGGTCAAATGTAAACCAAAAATTTTAACTTAATTGTATAGAGAATAATACAAGACATTTAAAACAATATTTCATGATCATACATTGATAATTTATGGCAGCATAAGAACAAAGTTTAAAACTTTGCTTAAAGCAAATACAAAGTACTAGTGGAATATACAAATTACTTGCTTTTCTTTTGTACTTTTTGTAATAATGTAGTTTACTAATCACAAACTAACTATATAGTTTGTGACTCATGCATGTGTACTACCTGTGCATTTCCATAATTATTTCCAACACTTTAAGTGTTCACAAAAATTAACCTAATTAGAAATATATTTTTAGTACAAATTAACTAGCATAATGGAAGTTTTCTGAGTTAAAAAAACAATTAAAACATTTTTCAAGAAAAAGGAAATACACCAAAATTAACTCTTAAAACCTCACCTTTCATACAGCGGATTTCTGGATTTCCTGTGAAGCCAAAAGAACAAGAGCAAACAGATTGGTGATTGACTGCTTTACAACTAGCATTAGCACCACATGATGTTGGATCATCACAAGGATCTGTAGTAAAACATTGATAAACAATTTTCTGTAATAAAAACTTGATTAATTAAAAACAACATATTTATATGTTTTGAGAAGAATACATCTTGTATATTGAGACATAGATTTGGTTGTTTCAGAGTAATTTCTAATTTGTCATCAGACTTGGAAGAAGGAGATTATGCAAATCTACTGTACTTACAAAATTACTTCAGTATGGCCAGATATTTACTTAAACGTTTTGTGTTCCTCAAATATACATATTTTTGAAAAAATACTCAAGCATTTTGAAAAACCTAATAATTTACATCATTATGGAAACTTCTATGAAAAGAAATATTAAAACACATTGCTATTATCCTTCTACTTATTCATAACAAGTGTTACCTTTACAGTAAGGTACTCCTTCAACCAATACACAAGCAGCTGTGTCTAGGCAGTCACTGTTTCCATTGTAACAAATGTTGGGATCATGACCTACAATTAGATTAATGTTGTAGCTGGCTGATATATAGTAAGAAATATATGGTAGATCACAGTAAAAGAAAAAAATATAGACAATTCTGTTTTTTTTATATTTAAACAAAAAAAACTTTCTTATCTTAATAAATACTTTTACAAAGGCTTCTGTAATATGCTAATAAAATTTAAAAAAATTCAGAATTAAATCAAATATTTGTTAAAAACTTGTGACTAGTATATCTTTCAATAAGTAAAAATATAATACCTTGCTAATATATATATGTACGATTTATATTTTAAAAAAAGGGGTAGTGGAAATTTTTTAATTTTCAGTGAATTCAAAACTTTACCTTTAAATATTTCACAAAATTAATTTTTTATTTATAATTGCAGCTTAGATATTATATATTTTCCTTGTATATATTAGTTGTAAACTTGATGATTAAATGTTATTTTTGCAACATAAATAATTCAGTTTACAACTCTAAAAATCCCAAGTCTTTATAGTCAATTTTTGTACATATATAGTTATAGGAAAACAAATTCTTCACAAAGTTAGTGGTTATTTTGAAAAGCTATGAAGCGTGTGATACTTACATCCTGGAGGGATTTTTGGATTCCCCACAAGTCCAACAGGACATTTGCATATATAGCTCCCTGGTACATTCTCACAAATGGCAGTGGAATGGCATGGGTTCAGCTGGCATTCGTTTTTATCTTATGAAAATATATTTTAAATGATAGCTAAATAAGTACACATATTTAGGATTCAAAAGAACTTAAATATTGTTAACAGTATATAAATATCTTTCTCATTAATTTTTAATCATTATTGGCATTTTCTTCACTGAACAATATGTTTTAACAGTCAATACCATTACTTCTTTGTTAATTTAAAAATTACATAAACTTAGAATTTTAATATTCAACATTCCATCAAAAAAATTTGATTGTTAAATTTCTATTTACAGATCAGCAATTCTTTATGCTTTATTTTAGTAATATGTAAATTACTGACCAATGCATGTCAGTTGATTGTTATTCTCATAACCAGTTTGGCATCGACACATTGCCTGATGATTTCTGACCACACAAGTCCCTTGAGGTCCACAGTTAACAGTATTATTACATGGACCTGCGTTGAGAGAATAAAAAGTATGATTTTTTAACATGGAGTATTCATACTTTTAAATGTTGAACATGCAAACAAATAAATCAAATTGGAAATTATTCAAAATAAAACAAGTATTTGCAATCAGTTTCAAGAAACATATTTAAAACAGTCTTTCATGGTTTAAATTTTTTTCTCTCTCATTTCTCTTTAATATAATTTACCCAATGTAAATATTATAGTTGTAAATTTTAAAACTTTCATGTACAATAACATTGTCAAGAAGAAGGATAAGAAAGAACAAAAAACAATGCAGTCAAATATCATATTTATAGGAGCTTAAGTCAATATATCTAATTATAAGTGAATGTTGCTAAATGATATTTACATTTTTATGAAAATTCATTTCAAAAAAATTAATTTTTATATTCACTTACTTAAATATATACATACACTAATGATTTAATTAGTTTGAAAATAGTAGTATATGTTGGCTTAATCATTTTATGTTTAGTTTTTTATGCTAACCATAAAGATAATGTGAAAACATCTCAAATTTCCTGTTTTAATAAAACCTGTTCTTAATTTTATTTAATATATTTTTGGCTCCAAAATTTGCTGCAAATGGATAATGTTAGTTTTAAATGTTTTTTCAGTTATGAATATAAAGTAATAATTTAATAAAATTTTAATAGATTAGGGATCAAGTTTCAATGTAACCATTTACTTGAAACACCTTTTTTCATAAGAAAACTGGTCAAATCAAATGTATATCAATAATTAGTTTTTTAGTATTTCACAAGAATTAGGAAAAATAAACTTACTTTTACATTTAAAGTTTAAACAGTAGTGATCAGCAGCACAGTCTAAATCATGAAGGCAGTCAACTAGAAAGATGATGAAATTTTGTGATGAATTACAATTCATAATCTAAATTCTTAACAAAAATTATAAAATATTCTGGCATATTTTACAATACAATTAAGAAATATAAACTGATTTGCATAGAAATACTTATAAAATTGGAACTTCAAATTTTTTTACACAAAAAAGTAAAATAATGAAATATTGTTAATAAAACAAAACAAAGGAAAAAAATAATTATTTGGAATATGAAGAAGCTGGAACAAAATGTCTTAGAATGAATCCAGACAATCATCAAAAAATTATAAATGTCATAATATAGTATAGTTTAATAAATCCAACATAAACTCGCACTATACTATAGTATAGCATAGTACTGTCTATTTACCATTATTTAACCTCATATTAAAAACAATGATAAGTTGGTATATTGTGGTTATATTTGTACTAGTGTATGTATATTATCTCCATTACAAATGGTTATTCAACATCATTTGTTACAGATTCAGTATAGAGGATAAGTTGTGCACAACAAGTTATGTATTTTGGTCTATTGTGCAGAAAATTCATTGTCTCATATTTTTATACATTAATTAATGTATCAAATATTTATGGTATGCAGTGCAATAAATTAGTTTAGACCACATCATGTTGTATTGGACTGTTAAAACTGTAATTAACTATTATTTCATATACATTTTTGGATGTTGAAGAGTTCTGATATTAAAGAAGACAATGACTTTTGGAAACAAAATATATCTGAAATTCTTTAGCACATTTCATTTAGACATATTTAGTTTGAAACTCCTAATGGGTTGATTAAGTGAAAAGTCACAACAGCTAATTGGAAGAGAATATAATGTACACTGTTTCTGACTGTATATCAATTAAAGTTTATATGTAGATCAAAACTTTAAAAAAGTATTTCTTTAAATTATTTGATTATTTGTTTTATAATATGAGCAATAACACATACACGAACTATGGAAGCAACATTTTGTGTCTAATAGTGTTATTATTTATAGTCACAAAATAAACATTCTTAAAAATTTATTGCAGAATGACTGAATTCTGAATCTGCAAGTTATGGACTTTGAGTGTTTATACTGATTGCCTTGAAAGTAAGCACTTAGTGCAAAAATGGTACCAACATGTTTTTATATGATCATAGTTTTTACCATACTATTACCACAATGCTTATGCAGTATTCTGATGACAGTCACAGGAATTTACCACAGCAGGATGATGTTATTATGTTACAGCCATAGGTTTATTTTCATACCACTCCATTACAATATTTTTTTTACATAGTAAAATGTTTTAATTATTGTTTTACTATAACATTGTAATACTTTGTATGTAAGGGCAGGTTTTAAATTTTTCATACTTAGCATATTTAGTATCAATAAATAATATAGTTTTAAGTGTCTTCTTACTATGACAACAACTACTTGAAACAGAAAACTCAAATGGTAAGTCAGAAACAAGTATTAATTTATTATTAAATATTTTACAGAAATATATTTTCAGTGTAAGAAAATCCTAACTTCTGACAGGGTACCTTACTTCCATTCACGCACATAGTTAGAATCCCACACTGAATAGGTGGAGGAACTGGTGCAAGAGAAAAAATAGAAGCATCCTTCAAAAGCATCTGAAGGACATCTTCAAGAAGGAACCCTATAATAAGAGAACAAAACGTGGAGGACCACACCACTTCTGCACCAGGTATACTCTTTGCCCAGATGTGGAAATGGTTAGACTGATCCGGGTAGACAAATTTGAGGAGCACATCCTAATGTGGGTAAAAGAAGGGATGTGCCCCCTAGATCCAAAGATGGAGCATCCATTTCAAGGACATCTCGTCATCTATGCCAGCAGAACACCACTGCCCTACTCTCAACTGAATGAAGTTGTTATTGTTTATATTGTTGCGTCAGCGAGGTCACGAGACTAGTATCACGCCACTCCTTCTCTCGAACTTTCATGAATTATCGGGAGACTACTAGATATGTGTTAGTCTTGTATATATAAGACGTTG